ATCCGACATCAAAATCGCAGCTAGCATTGGAAACACGATGTGGGATCAATGCAGCCATGCAGAGAAAATCTCTACGTACACCGAAACTCTTTGGCCTGGTGTTGTTGAAGTCACCGAAGGGCCTCATAGATCAAAAAAATGGGTCGGTGAGTAATTGCTCTAAACTCGATCACCGGGGCGAAATTTTAAATGTCTAATGCCGTATCAGCATCAGGCGGTTTCATAATAACCCATAGAGACACAGAAGTCATGGTACAGGTTATCCAACCTGTTCCATTAGAGTACTTCCCCAACGAGGTGATACATGGATCATGTGCACTATTCGAAAATAGTATTCAACTACTGCAACAGATCATTCGTAGGACCCTTGAGGAGGCTGGGAGAATTTCCCGAGGTGCAAGTAGAAAGCGGGATGATGAAACGGAACAAACGACACATTGTGACGGAGCACTGCAGTATACCGCATTTTGTAGGAGCTTCCTTTAATGCAATGTCCGCGACTCAATAGATCCGGATTTGTGCATGGTAATTATCCATACTGAGAGAACATCTTTGAACGGTCAACGTATAGATTATTCCCTGAATGACTGCCTGAGCTATAATTATAATATGATCTATCAGTCTGATGATCGCGTAGGGAGTGATAATAGCAAACTCTTACCCGGTCAAGTGGTAATATATGAACAAGTTTCATTCCTGGCGCAGCCTCCATGAAAGTCAACGCGCAGTGCGATACCAGATTTGAAAGTGGTATAAAATGATGCTGTCGATCTTCTCTGTCGCATAAAAAGCCCGCTACAAATCCATGCAGACGATAAGGATCCATTGTTGAGTCGATTGGCGTGAAGGCCTGTATAGAGAGATACACAGCACCAGGTGGGTTTTGATAGTCGGACTGAAGGATGTTTTCAATAGTGCCCGCTAGGAGACTGGCCCCTTCCGTCCCAGAATGTGTTGATGGGGAGGACCTGAACATTACAGAGCCGTTTCGATACTTGGCAGAGTTTGCACGTCCGTACGGAACACCTCGCCACAGAACTTCTTCGAAGGCTAACACACTTCGTGTCACCTCCTGCGTAGGGGTCATTGAGCGGAGCTTGTGGTAACATTGATCGTCTAATCTCAAAGGTTCGGATTTTGACCCTAACTTGAACTTTGGAATGTCAAATTCGTGTAGGCGATAGAACGCTCGTGGGTCTTCGCTGCTTATTTTGGATAAACTTTCAACAATCCTGGGGACATGTGCTCGTAGTGTCCCATCATCGGATAACAGCGCGGCGAGGTTGGCATTACGGGCGGATGCAAGCATCATGGAAGTCTCGGTCTGACCTACGGACGATGAGAATCCGACATGCCAAAAGTAGATGGATGATCAGCTCACCTAGTTTCCTATTTGTATTGACCCGATGGAGGAAATTGATGTATCGTTCATAATAGGGAGAACTGTGAGCATGAACGGGACCAAAATCGTTCAGCATTGTTCCTAGGTGAAGGGCGGCGTGATCAACGGGCTTGAGGGCGACGTCGGGGTATAACACACGAGAATCCGTCATATATTTGACGATGTATCGACTGTACTCAGATATGTGCTCTTGGGAAGTGGTCCTCATATTGGCGATAACGACAGCGCGAATGAGATCTAGGAAATTCGAGAGTAGGTCGTGCCTGCGTTCATCCGCCCTATGCCATAGCCGTATGAGAGTGATGGGGAGGTGGACAGTACATAGCGTCCGCGTCTGATCCGCTGATAAATCCGTGACCGACGCCCAATTCTTTGGAACACGGGTGGTCCAACTTGGCAGCAGCGTGCGCTCCATGTCCTCCCAAACATGCATCAGAACATCGATCCCTAGGACGGGAGCTCGCTTGTTGGTGTCAGGAAGATGCTGAATAAGGGTTTGAAGGGTATGATCATCGGAGCTCGCCTGCAGTATAATTATAAGTACATAAAAATGAAGTATATAAAGCCAGTATATCACCTACTTTGGTTAAGATTGCGTTGGCGAAGGGCATTTTTACTTGTCGTCCATCTCTTGAAACGGCGTTGGGGTCGATATCGATAATGCGACAAACCTGCTGGAGATGACCCACAGTTATTCTCGAGATCTTGCGTTGCAGGGTTTCCAGCCTTTCGGCCTCATCAAGGTGCTCTTCTCGTAGGAACGCTACAAGGATGCGGATAGCGGTCATGACAGGTTTCGGCTGGCGGTCGTGATCAGGTTCGAGAAGATCAATGTCATTGACATTGGGAAGTGCTGGGGGTGCATTGTCACCGATTGATGCACCGTCCTCCTCATCCTCATCTGATCCATAGTAAGAATCGGAACCAGAATCTTGGAGGTAAAGGGCCCTTGGCCTCGGTTGACTAGGCCCGGGTTCACCTCCTCCTGCCGTACGGCCACGCCTTTGCCTTCCGGCCCCTCCGCTTTCATTGGAATTGTTCGTTATGAATTGGCGGACGGACAGATTCGACTCATCAGATCTCTGGAGTCAGAAGTTGGTATTCGCAGGTGAGCATTCGGTTATAATTCCTTACCCAGCGGTGAATGCCTTGTGCTAGGACCCATCGTGTTCCAAGCACTTCGCCGTTCGCGCCTACAATACCCATCTCCATACAGAACACATACAGTACCTTCCTATGCAGCTCTAATAGCTTGAACAATAAGTTTGGTGGTTTACTTGCGACCAGCTTTTTGCAGTCTGTCAAGGTCTTTGTAAGGCGTTTGCTTAGCGCCATTTTGTCGCGCACACTCGGGACGATCGGGGTGGCATTCCCTCCTGGATTGGACGTATCAATTTGAAACATATAACGGAGGTGATTCTTGAGTAGATTGATATCCAAGGCGTGCATGCTGTCGATGACGATAAATTTGACAGGATCCCAATAGGGTAGGTCAAAGAGAGGAGACCAGCGCTGCCCAAAAGCTTCGAAGAGCATCTTTTTGTGGCGCTCTGATGGTGCGTCTCGCCATGCTTTGGCTGCGTCTCGTAGATGCTGACCCGACTTTGATGGCCATTTTAGCGGATCCAAAAGATCGATGTCGTCGATATCGATATCACAAACAGTGCATGTGTTATGAGCGCTGGGTGCGGGTTTACCAGCGACTTGACGAGCTCCAAGCATGTCACATACTAGCGGAATAAGTGCTGCGAAGTAGGTTCGCCCACTCGCGGAACCATGAGTGCGCGAGAAGAACACTCCAGACTCCCAAAATTGCAGGAAGTCATCAACAATCAACTGGATATATGGGTTTATCTCGTCGAGCGAGGGCTTCTTAGGGCCAGGGATGACACCTGCGAGGTAAACATTTTCAGGGAGGTATCTCAGGTGTGGGGGGAGATTGTAACAGACGAGCCAAATCCCAGTTGAGGACTGGGGTGTGTGGCCAGGTCGCGAGGCGTTTGGTTCGAAGCTATCTGCAGACAAGCCGAAAACGAGGCGGCCGGGGCCACTGAACGGATTTCCGTCGTGACCTTTCAGTTGGGAGAAAATATTTGCTAACCATATATCCGATATCGGTTGATGTCCAGAGCGAAGCTCGGATGGGTAGGTATCCAACAGGTCGTCGATACCTTTGCGAGCCAAAATCCTTGCTAACCAATGTTTAAAGTCTTGGTGCTGGTATAGTACACGCGGTACAATGCGCTGTCGACCCCCCACGATTGTCTCCTTCCATAATTCCGCGGCACATGGGGAGGACTCGGGCGCACGCTTCCCTAGGCATCGAGGAGGGTTTGAAGGTTCGTTGGGATTGTACGGATAGATCGAATGGCAAGAAGTGCAGCATATGAATGTCCGCAGTACGGGGTCAATGTGCAAATGTGAGGTTGCCGTCCGCGGGTCCCCCGAAATAAGTTCTGCGATCTCGGTTGGGATGGCTGTATTGCCGCCCATCAGGTCACGAAGCCCAGATAGCTGCAGTCGCAGCGCCCGCCTCGATACAAAATAGAAGTGCTGCATTATCGCCGTTGTGACATAGGCAACTTGGGTAGCTATGGGCTCGCGTTTGACGAGAGAGTGGAAGTATATATCTACGGATGACATCAGTCACGAAAAGACTTAGACGAGTTCGAGTACAGGTACCTGTGTTGACATAAGATTTGTCCTCTATCTTTCGTTGATTTAACCAGTGGAGTTCTTTATCACGGTTCAAGCGGTCCCATTGAGAACGCAGCTGGGGTAGTAGCTGCGCGTCGTGAGGGTATGTGAGTTGGGCCGCCTTTGTAAGCAAATACGCAAGGCGTAGCTCAGTGGTGAGAAATGCTGCATTGGCGCGACTTTTTGTGTCAAGTGAATGAACTCCAGCATTGACGTTGCGGGGGTCCATCGGCTCCCTGTATTCACCGGAAGTCGAAGGATTATTGATGAATTTCAATGGATGGAGTGGAGAAGACGAGGGGAGGAGATCGAAGAGGGCCAGTTCTTGCTCAACCAATTGTTGCCATCCAACGTCAGGTCCTTGCAATTGGTCACTGGTGGGCGCAGTCGTCGCGGCACCAGGCAGCAGCTGCGAGGTTCTCGTGCCATGGCCAATCGATATCCGGGAAAGTCTGTCATCTTTCCGGTGATTGTCCATTGTCCAGCAGCGTTACAAGTTTTCCGTCACCAACGAAAGACTGAGATACGGAATCCCATTGCAGGCAATGGCTATGACATCGACAAAGAACGTATGTTTTCCTAAAGGACAGGCAATCTTCTTATTATCGTCGAAATCCAAACGTAAAAATCCGGGCAGACCTTTCACGTCTCTCTAACTCCATAGGAGAGTCACGACAACGCCTATATAGAAGTACTCCGAAGCGTTGACACACTTTCGGAGGATGGTCTCGACAGGCGGGCGGCTTTAGATATTAGCATTAATTTGGCAACGCGACGGTCGCGTTGCAGGTTTAAAGTTGATTGTCCGGCGAAGCCTTGAAACTCAGCAAGTACAGATTTGAGAGTTTGAACCCAGATTGTAGAGATTTAAAGCCCAGATAGTTAGAGTTCACTATTCTAACTACAAAACCATCCTACTTCGTATGTACGCTGCCGCCAGCCCTTCCATTTGAGATATAAGCTTCTTTGCCGCCGGAGTGTGACGTAAGGCACTCCTCCAAGAGGGACCGTTCATAAGGTCTGCAGCTTCGAAGTTGCCCGAACTGAGTTTTTCATGACGGCGTTGGTACCAAGCTTCGGCATCGTTCGTCCACTGAGCAAGGCCAAACTGTTGCTTAACCCATAGGTGATGGGGAGGCCACCAGGATTTTCGCGTCACCTGTTTCTCCCCTTTTGATGAAACTTGGCCTGTGGTGGTCCGTTAGTATGGATTATCTCTTCACCTCATACGGATGCGTACCAGTTTCCTGGCAGTATACACCGCATATCAAGTCTAACTCTGCCGAAGTCAGAGGGCTAAATAAGGCGGGGTCGATATCCTCGCTAGATAGTAATGCTGAGAAGAAATCGGGGGGAATGAGGGCACGAGCCATGCGGCCAACTAGTCCTCCAGTCATGAGTGCAGAGCATCCCCGAGGAGACTTGAGGAGAGCATCGCGTCGAGTAACGTATGCACAATAGTCCCATTTATTAGGAATGTAATTAGCAGGACGATATCCTAGGGCGTTGTTACCCTCCGATGTAGACATCGGGACTGAGCCTGCGCCAGTGGACAAACGAAGGGAGAATGGAAATCCTATCCCAGCGAGATTCGTTGCAACGGTAGATACAGAATGCGAATCCCAATCGCGATGGCACCGCGCGACGTATAATACTGCGAGAGGGTTTGTGACGACGACTTGTAGCCTAGCCGAACTTCCAAAAACGTAACTGACGGCGTCGCCATTCGGTTCGAGGTGGAAGGGAATATCACCCATCCAATATGATGAGACGATGCTGTCAGCTTGGCGGATGTCCAAAAGGCCCTGCGGCATGTCCAACCAAGACGACGCCGTTGTTAGACAAAGGAAGAATTTGCAAAGATGAGATACAGTTTTTGCGTCGACATAGCCTCCAACATCCTTCCATGACACCCCCATGCACTTCTTGACGAGAGCCCAATCTACCTGTGACCCTGATGATTGGCCTTGGTCCTCTTCGGAGTCAGTGAAACCAAAGATTTCATATGCGACTTGCAAGGCTGAGAACTCAGGCATTTCTGAAGCCAAATCAGAGTCGAGAGGAGCTGATTCTTGGTCAAGAGAATAGAGATGTCGCATTTCGGGATTGGGCCCCCGTTGCGTCATCGACGACAACAATGGATCATCGTCGAGATGGATTGTGAATGCGCTCGGAATCGCAGAAGCATCGATATCGTCGCTACGACGTACATCGGTATTGTCAGCCGCGGGGTCGGCATGTGGAATATCGTCGTCATCGCTATCGTCGTAATCGCCAAGCTCAGATGCGCCTTCCTCAGGGGCAAATTCGGAACATAGATCCCATTCATCGAAGGCTGAATTGTACCGCCTCTGGTTATGTGAGTAACGTAGCCAAAGAGACGGATCGCGAGTGCCGAAACGACGAATGCGAATACCGTCGACATCTTCCCAGTAGAAAACGAGAGCTCCCCTCCTTCCAGGGATTTGTTGGTGCGATGCAGCCTCCTCACGAGCGAGTCGAGCTTGCCTTTGAGTCTGTGTCTCTTTCAGGACATATCGCTCGAAATGCTTCTCCCTGCGAGCGAAGAACTCGGACATCAATTCGCCAGGCCTTTGAGAGGTACCTTGGTCGACAACAAAAGAAGGAACAGCACTAGAGCTTGCAATTGGAGAGGGTGGCGGTCCCCATTTGGCGCCACTTGATGGGTCGGAAGGTGCGGAGGGAGAGACCGGCCGACCCTTGAAAATGGCAGTAGAAGCTATAAGCGGCATGCGCTGCGCTACACCGGTAGCCCACGGGAAATCCTTGCGTATTGGGTTATAAACTTCTTTCGGGATGAGGTAGGCGCCCCAACCGCGTATGGCAGGGGGGGGATACGGAGTTTTGTTCTCAGGTCCCCAATAAAAGTACAGTGGCATATTGTACGGGAAAAGGGATGGAATGTCATCCAGGAAATCACATGTGTTGATGTCGATGAAACCACCTTGTCGTAATGCATGGGTTGAACCGATAACCGAAGCCTCTAGATCGGCAATGAATTGAGGATGAAGTCTTGCAGCGGATGACACGAAGTCCCTCCAACGAAAAGTAGGGAGCACCCTTTCGTGACGTTCGGCCAGTATTACGCAGAATGTGGCCAGCGCGATGAGTGGGAGAAACGCGTCTCGAGACTGCATGCAGCAATCCCTAGCCTCCTCTGGCGTGGGGTGCTTAAAAGAGTAACCGTATTGACTTGGGAAGGAGTAGAATGCGAAGGAGCTACTGACTCCACGGACTTCGTTCAAAAGGTACTTGATGAACCGTTGAAGAGCGTATTCCAAGGCCCGCCAAGTGTCCCTAGTTGTCTTAACGAGAACATAGCAGCCATCACGAGTCTTCCAAAATTTGAGGGACGATAATGACACATGAAGTGGTTGGAAAAGCGGGCCAGACCAAGAATGATGTTTAGGGATCAACGCAAGGTAGGGGAACATGTTAGTCAACCAGTTGGGTTGCTTGAAGATGGAAAGGTCGTCTTCCATATAGTGAATCATAGTTGCGGGAGGGGTTGGTACGACTTCCGTGCGACTGTTAACGACGGTATAGTGACCGCCGTGTATGCGTGCAAATGAAAAGGATTCAGGTTGAATCTGTGAGTTATGTGTCACTTCTGAGGCAAAAGGTTGACGGTGGATTCCTACGTACGTGAGTATCCACAGGCATAGCGTGAATGTTATGTACGAATCAAAACTTTCCGACGTTGAACGTCGTGAAAGCTCAACTGCGTCGATTGGCTATTTAGCTGTAGCGCATTCGGCTTCAAACTTCTTCACCTTGCATAATAATATCTCCACGCGTCACCAGCACGTGCGTTTACCTTCGAGCGGAATTTGAAATTGGCATTTCTATACATAGTAGCTAATTATATATAATAGAGATTTGTCGTTTAGCACGCATATCACAATAATCTTGCACTTGCAATAATCCCGGCAATAATAGGTAGTACTACCCTATGTATATAAGAGGTTGCGATTGTTATAAAAGTATAGCCATGGTACCTCGATGGTATAATAACTGCTCATGTTTTCGCTTTATTCTTCATAGTCTCGCCTTTCACCCAGTTTGGCCGATCACCCCTGCCCCATGTTAGATATGCGTCCTTTTCGTTTGGGTGGGGCACAAGCATGTTGTTGATGCCGTTGCGCAAATTCCATTGATGGGTGATATCCTGCCAGGTCTCGTGTTTGTCCTGGAGCCACATCCGCTCAGCCATCATGTTTTTATCGTCGCTATGAAGCAAGAACATGTCGCCTGGTAACAAAAGCCAAGATTCTGGGACCAAGGGAAAGTCAAGTAGGCCTTCACCTAAACGCACACAATCAATGTATCGGGGTTTTCTGTCACTTGTGCTCTTGGAGTCGGCAGTTGTATAGCTTGAGCCGGCCCAGTAGTTTATCGGTCCCTTGTTCGGTATAGAACACTTTCATGTCCTTGTCGATGAAGTAGCTAGAAGGGGGAGGTGCCCTAGCTGGGTGTGACGTGGCATTGAGAGGGGCTGAAGGGTTGATGACAGCCTCTATCTGGGGAATCCTACTCACGAAAACGAAGATTAGGTAGATAAATACTAATCAAGCTGGATACAACTTACCGGCGATGATCTGTTTCAACAAGTGAGCCTACTTGAGGTATGCTTCCGCGCGGCGTTTGTGGAGAAATACCAGACGCTACCTGAGGGAGATAGATTCGTTGTCCCAGGAGACCGTGGCCGCTAATTGAGTCAATCGGGGGTGGAATAGTGATGTATTCACAGTTCAGGACGAGAAGAATGGGCGTAAGATTTTGTAGATGTCGAGCGCTGGTGAAGGTCTGATTCAATGAGTGATTCTGCTTGCGGTGTGCTTCTGCGCGGCGTTTGAGAGTGATATATTCGTTGTTCCGAGAGACCGTGGCCACTGATCTGAGTCATTCTGGGGTAGAATGGTGATGTACTCACGTTCAGGAGGAGGAGGAGAATGGGCTGTGAAACTTTATAGGTGTCCTGTACTGGTGAAGATCTGGAGGAGACCCAGGAGTGTCGACCATTTCAGGCTGATCATGAGTTGCATTCGGGGGCATCCATTGGCCGGGAGGGACATGATAGGTGGTGGATTGGGCAGCCTGATCATAAGGTGCACGTGGTTGCGTACGTGCGAAGGATACGCGGGGTGCGGTTTGTGACTGAGAGTCGCGTATGTTTGACAGTGTATGATGACCCGAAGCAGATCCGTTGGCGACTTCGGGTTTTACAACAGTGGGTGACCTAAAACGAACGCCGTTCATGAATGATATCAACCAAGAAATAATCCGGCCACTCGCCTTATTATATCAATAGTAGATAGATTGGCCTCTAGCGCGCGGACAAGAGATTCCACTTGATCCTGAACAGCTCCATTTTCTGGCAAAGCAAGGTGGTTTGTAGCCAGAAGAGACGCCTGGAGCAATAATGCGTGTTTATCCTTGATTTCCGATAGTGAGGCTGCGCAAAGCTCAATGGTGAAATCGGTAATCTTTGGTGAACATAGTCGCCGGAGGAAGGTGTAAATGTCCTGCTTCCTGCTGCTGGGTGGTGGTGGTGGCTTCTGCAAATCGATCGATAGTGGGGTCGGGGTTGTTGACGGCCTTTTGATTGTGGGAAGAGGCACTGTTCGAACGGGAGGCTTCCTGGTAATTATAAGACGAAAGGTTTGGCCCAGGAGGGACAATATGGAACGCACAAGGGTGTTGCGGGGTAACTACCGGGCATTTCAGTATCCCCCTCTTCCATCAAGTCACTAATGAAGGTATTTTTGAAATCGTCACAGAGGAGCTGGAATGCAATTATGTTAAGATAGAAATTTCCATTGAAATCAGGTCCGTACGTCATATTTGATTTCGTATGGCATGCGGTCATCTAGCGGATGTGTGCTGCTTGCAATTGCCCCTCGATGGACCATGGTGGTGTTCCCGAAAGATAGATAAATATGGGCGCTTGAGTTCATCGATAAAAGTACAGGGTCATGTATACGTATATTACTACCGTCAGTGTCAAGAGGTCGCATCATGATCAGAAACGTCTGGATCTACTTCTTCGGGCGTGGCCAGCCTCCTTTGAAGCCCGCTAGCTGCGAAGCCAGTTCTCCGTCGCTTTTTGGGGGCAGCTGAGGAGTTTGAAGTGGCTTTACGCTTTGACGTCAGGCTTCCGCCTATAAATCAATGTCAAGTCATTAGATGTTTGCAAGTTGGAAACAACAACATACCGGGGGCAAGCTGGTTGCATATCCGGTTGTTGGAAGTCAATCGCATGCTAGACCGAGTCCGTCGCGGACTCATTATCGTCGAAGCTTTGGGGAGTTGTCCAGAGTTCTGGTCGTTAGAAATTGATCGTGTGCCGGACTGAGTTCTTCGCGAACTTGTTGAAGTGCTCGCTAATTGCTTAACGCGTACGTTCCGTCTAACCGGAGAACCGTCAGGACTGCTTGTTAGGGGGGACATAGGCGACAAAGGTCCTATGAGGGATCTATCGTGCGGCGACGGGGTCAACGGCGTGAAATTAAATGCCTTGAAAGCCGGTGTTTGCGGTGGCGACGACGAGGGGGTATGATCCCCATTCTGAGCTCCATCGGAGTCATGAGGAGGCCCATGAGCCTCAAAAATGGGTAGCTAAATGATGAAGAAGTAAAAGCATTCTTTGGAGTACCTGCACCCTCACCTCCGACGATGTTGATAGTAACTGGGGTGCTGCATCATCGGATCCATATTCTTGTTCGCCAGAGACAACATGAATTTCTTGGGAAGGAGCCTCCTCGTCGTGAGAGGCGTTGACGCTCGGTGGTGACTGGATTGACGAGTCGCTGGATTGGTCCCCGTACGTCTCAGTTTCACTTTGGGTTACTTCAGCCTGAACTCCCTCAGGCGACTGGACCTGGTGTGTATTGTTGGACCCGCCAGCTCGTGCCTTAGCTTCACTTGAGACTATTTCATCGGTTTGAACCCCGTGATCGGTCGAGGGTACACGGAGGGGCGCATCGCTAGATCCACCTGCTTGTACCTCAGCTTCGCTTGAGATTACGAGGATCTCATCGGTTTGAACCACTTGATCCAAAGTGGTAGGGGTTACGCGCGGCGGTGCGTCGCTGGATCCACCTGCTTGAGTCCCAGCTTCCCTTGTAACTATAAAGATTCCTTCGGTCTGAGCCGCTACTGGTGCGTGGGACACTTTAGATGGTAAATGGCCGCGATGATCTTGCGCACAAGCCTGCATCACAATGTATGAGGTGAGCAGTCATCTACGCCCTTCGCATGGACTGACATGTACCTTTTCCAAGTCTCCTATTTGGTGACGTATTTTCTTGAGGTATTGGAAACACCGCTCCGACTCGGCCATCGGATCCGCGCCGATTACGACGGCGGAGGGCACCAACGTAGTGTCACGTTCAGCAGGGCCAGAGGATGCCAGAATGGCAAGGCAACCGTGGATTGTGTTGATTGTACCAATGCGCTGAGAAAGCTACTAAGGGTCAATACCCTATTCTAGCGATGGGATACGCTGGGACTGACCTCGTCTCGTAAACGTTGATTTTCGGAAGCGAACTTGATGATGGACGAGAACGACGTCGTGATCAGCATCGTACACGTACATGCATGGTTATGATACGATTACTTACTTGTGTATGTAGGCGCGCGTTCTGGACCTCGTAGGCTGCGCATTTACTACTCGAGTCGCTCACCTAAATTATAGTAAACGGGTACAATTGTCAGTGAAAGATAATATGCATGCATGATTATTATTTGACTTACTTCTGTACGTATGCGTCCGATCTCCATCTCGTAGGCTGCGTATTTACTGATTGACTCGCTCACCTAGATTGCATATATAACCGCGCACAATTAATTGCAATTGTCAGTGAACGATGATCAGCATTATGCATTATTTGGTTACTAACTTGTGTATGTAGATGCGCGTTCTCAACCTCGTAGGCTGCGCATTTACTGATCAACTCGCTCACCTAGATTATATATGTGATATACAGAATCGGTGAGCGATCGCGTGGCGACTGACCTTGTCCCCAACCCAAGATCGTTCCTCCTGGAGGCGCGCTCCCTCGCATTGCAGGGCGCCGATCTACACTATCATCAATATGGGGGGAAACATACGTTGGATTTGCTTGCCTGATTAACTGCAATACTCGCAATCTCGGAGTTCTAACACGTAATTAATGCGTCAAATCTAGCGAATTCCGTTGGCTGAAAGAAATACAAACCTGAGCCCGAATAGCCTTGTTTTCGGTGGCGAGTAGCTCCACACGATGCATGGCCTGGCAAGGATGAGAATATATATATCACTATCAGAATGAGAAACTCACTTCGGCATGGATGTCTGTGTTCCGAATTCCAAGCTTGAATCCATCTCTTAGTCGCGCGTCTGTAGTCTAGTATCTCGAGAACCGACCTTCTGAACTTCTGTTTCATAATCGCGTCGAAGATACTCGAGCTGACAAGATTTATGTCATATGTAGGTTACCGACAGGGGGACACCTACTTCGCGGGTCATTTGTTCGTTCTGCTGGGCGGCCTGCTTCTGGGCCTGGTTGAGTTGCGCAATCTACGCAGTACCTTTGTGATGGCTATTCAACTCCAAGGCGGAACAACAGCCTACCTGTCCTTCAAGCTCCTGCTTTTCGAGAGCAAAACTCCTCTCTTTTACTTGAAACTGTCAGACGGATGTGAGTGACTTGGGATCGACCTTGTTTATCGATGCGAGGGGTGTATTGACCTGGGTTTCTAAACGCTGCCTCAGATCAGACACCTAATGAGAAAGATGCGCATTTAGACAAATTAGGAATGCATGATAAACTCTCCGTTTGCGCACCTCATCCAATCTGTCCTCGAGGACGATGGCCGTCCTTCGGTCATGGAGACTGGAAGTCTATGAACAGTAGTGAGTGGGTGGAATATGCAGGGGCGACGCGGAGGATGCTGTGGAATTTACCTCTTGTTTAAGAGTTGCGATGTCTATCTCCATGGCCTGCTGCCGTGTAATGATGGAGGTCACCTACATATATATTCATCAAACAGGTAGAAATGGAAGGACACAGCCATGAGGACGTACATTTGAGTTTGCGCAGCGCTCCGAGGTTTCAGCCTGATCTCAGCCATGTCAGCAACACCACCACCAGACAAATCTCAAACAGTGCTTACCAGATTGGCTATTATGCGTTTTGCCCCGTGTAGTTCCTCCTGTAAGAGGAACGAGTGTGTAGAGCGTTCCAAAGTTTCAGCCTGGTTCGCAGATGTGAACAACGTCAGACGAGTCTAAGAAAGTCTTTACCAGATTTGCCATTGTGCGCCTTGCCCCCCGTAAATCTCCCCGTAGGGCCTGAGAATCAAAGAGGTAAGCTTCGGAGCGGAGTCCATCAATGGTGACCGGACACCTTGCTTGAGGCTTCAAAGCTTTCTACGACTCGCAGTACGTCTGGTCCTTGAGGACAACAGCCCTGTTGGATGTCTGGAGCAACTGCAGCTGGTAGGGCGGGGGGCGGTGAGACGTGCAGGTGAGAGAAGAAGCGCGTCATTTGGTCTAGTAAATGCGTATATGTATCTAGGGGTATTTGGATCAGGTTCGGGCTAGGGGAAACAGGCCCTGCCTCGGTGAATGTGTCCGCTTCGACGGCGTCAAGTGGCACACTATGCATCCATTAGTTATTGACCCAGATTGTCAAAACCTTCACCTACTCCAGTGCCTTCATATCATCGGGAGTGCGTTCGGGCGAAGCGGAGATAGAAGGGATGTTGCACTTGCCACGGGGGATCAACGTCGCTTGCGAGGTCGAAGAGTCGTCGGAAGCAGGAGTGAATTCAGAGTCAACAACGGAGGGTGACTCCTCATCGGACTCGAAGCTGTCGGGAAGAGGCGGTAGCTTTCCAGGAGGAGGGGGTTTATCATCAGATCCAGAACTATCAGCTGGACGATGCGACGGCTGATCAGGCTTAAAGCCATCAGGAGGAGGCGCTAGCTCGGCAGTAGGAGACTTATCATCAGATCCAGAGCCATCGACTGGTGGAGGCGACGGCTGATCAGGCTCAAAGCCATCGGGAAGAAGTGGTAGCTCGGCAGGAGGAGGCTTGTCATCAGGTCCAGAGCTATCAACTGGGCGAGGCGACGGCTGGTCAAGCTCAAGGCCATCGGGAAGAGGCGGTAGCTCGGCAGGAGGAGTGAGTTCAGAATTAACTAGGGGAGGCGACTTCTCATCGGCGTTGAAGCTATCAAATGGGGGAGGCGAGTGCTCACTGGATTCAGGACCATCGGCAGGCAGAGGAGGCAGCTGGTCCTCAGATTTAGAGCTATCTTGGCGATCCAGCTTTGGGGACTGCCGTTCGTTGGGTTCGACACCCGGTTTCGCGTGCACGGCTGCTTTAAAGCTGGGGAATAATGCCTAATTGACCTCTCCGTTAATATTGGCTTGAGGAGACGCACAATTGGGTGAACTTACGTCTCGACCTGGTAACAACGTGGCGGACGCTGCCGCAAGTCCTGCACATATCAGAGTATCCATGTTGGTGTGGGGGAGAGGATACAAGTAGTACCTGTAGTAGCGGTTATTTATACTTGATCATAAAGAGTTTTGTGGTGCCAAAGGCTCTTTGATCACCTTTGTGTGTAGGCGGGATACGGTCACGTGTTATCCAAGCGGGCGCCTGTAATATGTCGCGCGTGAGTCTATTTTAAGTGCTAATTAGTAACAGCTGATGAGGCGATCCTACTGCTCGCGCTTCCACGTCTGCAACATAGGCCGAGACTATCCTTCGCGTCGATTTCAATCAATGATGAGCCAACGCTGACATATGCATACCGTTGGACTGTCCATTTCGTATGATCGAGATTTGGAACCAAGGGCAAGTCTCCGAAGCGTTGGGCACTTCGGAGATTTGCCTATAAGTGAATCTCAACGATATTGTGAGACGCGCTACTATATAAGCACAGAGTGACATCGAGTTTTATTGGTACATTTCGGCAGATACATCGGAATCTTGGGAGCAGGAAGTTGTGGAACCGTACACAGTGGGAGTAGGCGTGAGATACAAGCAGCTGTGGTAAGTCAAAAGTCCGGCGCAGAGATGTAATTGTGTACGAATGAGGCTGGTAATGTGTGCTTTTGCAACGGGTGTGCTGGCGTTGTGCTGGGAGTGACGATATTCAAGAAAATGGGGGGGAAACCTTGCTGGATTCATTGCCAAGGCCAGTTTCCTTCGGAGTCATGAGAAAGAGACTGAGGCGAGTACGCGAGAAACTTACTTTCGACAGTGAGTAAGTGGTGGGATGTGTTTGGCAACTGGTCCTCTGGCTGCGAAGATTCTAGCCATGCTACGCCCAGCCTGCCGTACTGCATACCACACTGAAAGTGTTCGGCCTAGAAAAGAATCCTATGAGGGTTGGCTAATTATGAAGCCGGAATCATGAACATACAGGAATAGATGAGTCGACGTGGCCCTCCCATTGGTAGCTCCAAACACGACCCCTGAACTCGGTGCGCCCATGCACGACAAGGCGCCCATCGTCAAGAAGAAGGGAGACATCATTAGCGCTGACGCCAGGCATATCGATTTCTAGCAATATTAATGAAGTTGAAGTATCTTGGATGTCGTATTGCCGAACGCTGTTGGCGCGTATGTGAGACCCAAATCTGGAATAAAGCGTGTAACTTACCATGGAGTTTGCGTCAAGAGAGTGTTCCCGTCGTCGTCTGAGGCAAGCTGGTCTATCATTTCGTCGCCTGAGGCAAGCTGGTCTATCATTTCGTCGTCTGAGGCAAGCTGGTCTATCATTTCGTCGTCTGAGGCAAGTTGGTCTATCATTTCGTCGTCTGAGGCAAGTTGGTCTATCATTTCGTCATCGAGGGCAATGTTTGGAGTACCAGAGGACGACAAGGCAGCCGAAGGAGGTGCTAAGCCCTCGTCGCCCCGAGAAGATAAAGTTCGTTTGTATTGATGGCGAGAAGTGGGTGCCAGTAGTGAACGAAGCTCTCGGACCTCAGCTCTGGTGCGGGCACCAGAGCGACGCGTACGAGAGCGGGCGGCAGGTTCTGTGACCCGAGAGGAGCCGCGTTTCTCGTCCTTCAGCTTCAGGGCTGAAGCTGAAGATCTAGTGCGAAACGCCTTGCGACGAGTTCGAGTTTGGTTCCTGGGCTTTGTTACTTTATAGGTGCCGCGTTTGAGGAGGGCATTTCTGAAGTAGGTGGGAAACATCTGCGCCACATGAGCGGGGCAAATTATAGAGCATTTGTGACGTACATGGAGCTGTTCTGGTTTGAGATCCCACCTATCACTCCACTCCTTACGTAGCGTCGCATACCAGAGTTTGCGCTCGATTTCTTTGCCCATTGATTGCTCGAAGCCGTCGACCTTGGTTTTGAGCCATTCTTCTTGCTCATCATCGAAGAACTTCATAGCTTTGCGTGGAGACATATATAGTAGAAAGAAATGGCTAATCAATTGGGAATGAGGTCGAGATGCATGGCATATTGGACTTGCAATCGTAGTCTGTGACGGCCCAAAGTTCAAAGTCCGACTATTTAGCTTGCCAAATATAGATGCTATTAGGCGCAAGTTGCAATATTAATTGCGCTCCAAGTTTGAAAGTAAATATTTTATTCGGCTTATAGATAAATGACAAAGTAGATATCGATATCAAATCGGTATGCGCATCAAAGCACCACAGCAAATGAAACCAGAATTAGAGCACAAAAAATGGAGCAAAACGGTGACTAAAAGGCAAAGTTTGTCTCTTCATCTTCGTTCTGAACTTCGGGCCTGAAGTCAAAAAGCCTTTTAGGTGCGTGATTAATTAGAAATCAACTTTCAACGATATGCGTACTCACTTCAAGATACAATTATCCACCAAGGGGATGTCGGTTTCAACAGCGTTTTCTACAAGCGCCTTGCCGCCCCAGGGGGTGGTAGGATCGTCCGACAATGGACCCCGCGTCTTGACGACCAAAACCGATCCGGTCCAAGCGCGAAATCCATTAGCTTCGATGCTCATACGATCGACCATAAGGGAGTTGACTCCATAGGCGACGTCCCCAGGCTCAAAGAGAAAAGTGAACGACGTATTTTTCTTCGGGCGTGGTACGTGCTCTGCGTAGTCATCGGGATGCATGGAGGGACGAGTTCGTTCGTCCAAAGGGTCGATAGGCACGAGAGCGCCTATATCTGTCAGTGATGGGAAAGGACGGAAGACAAAATTGAAGCGGTTTCGGTGGATATTTGCATCGTTAGCAGGGCCGCTGAGATAGGGTGCTACGTCGATTTCATTGAGGCGCATGCCAAGGGCGTCGCTTCGGCGATATCGACTTGGTCGAAGGGGAACGAGCTGGATTTCCTTGGTGCAGATTCTGTAGAGAATCGCGTGCGGGTGATCCTTTGCATAGCGAATTCAGTAAGATAGCATAGCTAAGACAATGAATGAGACGGAATCATCTCACCTTCTGAGCATAATGCTTCTTCCAGACGTCACGAATACCTCGGTAAACATGCATATTTGCTCTTGCTGGGCGCATTATGAGAAGCCAAAGGAGGAACGCCATCGTGACAGCCACGGAGGCCCTAATGGCGTAAAAGGAGAGGCGTAGGATGTGCAGGATGTGCACCAGGATAGGTAGCAAGTCTGTCATGACGCTAGATGTGGAGCTGGGGTGTGTGGTATACAATATCGCTGCCACCAGGCCTATAGATAGGATGCGCGCCAGGATAGGTAGCAAGTCTGTCATGACGCTAGCTATAGATGTAGAGCTGGGGGGTGTGGTATACGATATCGCTGCCACCAGGCCTATATATAGCAAAGACTGTGTACGTGACTAATGCATGCTGCACCATCATGCATGGACATATGCATTCCGATGGCCATGGCCATGGCCAGCTGCTATAGAGCTGATTATTAGCTGCATGCGCAGCTGCAGGCCTGGCGATGTACAAATTTTTCTTCCTTCGCGGTGTTAATCGGAAACATACACGAAGTCGAGAAATTACAATGCGTCCGGGCCCGTGGCCACGTCGGCTCCGCGACAGATCTACTCGATCCGTGACGATATCGATCGATCTAAACGTGCCAGATGCATGCATATGGGTGTCGTACGTACGGGGGACCCGCTGGCCATACATGTCTGGGTGAATTTCAGCATGGAAGAAAGCACCGCGCGCGGGGATAACTTACAATACATTAAGGAAGACAAGCATGGAAGGGAGATACACGGTGGGACTATCGAAAGGCGTAGGAATAGATATACGAGCTTAAGAGTGCATATACTTGATTAACGACGTATAGTGAACCGGAACTGGATTCATGATTCGCATTTATTCCTATAGCCGTAGCGTAATTAATCGAAGCGAGATAGCTCAATGGGAAGCGACTTACGAGAATCTGCTTCGGAGAGCGCGTATTTGAATCAATGGATGTAGCCACTGAGGCCATAAACCTGTAGATTCATTAGTGTTGGGGAAAGGGGTAGGGAAACGCGGTACATTCTGATGGCTTTGTTTACAATGACACTGGAAATCACAGGTGAAGCGAGGTATGGCACGATCTCGCCGAGACGGAACACGGCGAGCTCCCCTCTCCATGGAAGGTGTGGCGCAATTCGTAGCAATGCTTGGTTTACATCGCATGTCGTTTTGCTGTAGCCATAGATCCTGAAGCGATGACGATGGGAGCTTGCGAGGGAGACCGTGGCGTCATGTACACGGTAGGCAGCACCTCCGTGGCCTTGGAACACCTTCTTCACGTCGATTTCCGGAAGTTTATTGATGTCGACGTCGTTACCAGCACAGAGGGGGAAGTTACGCATGCGGCGTCTGTGGTCGTGCTGGGCAAACAAAAAGCCTTGCACTCCTCTCGCGTTCTAGAGGTAATCAGACGTTAGACAAAGGATAGCCGCATATTAGGTGGAAGGAGGACCCACCCTAACCCGCTGAGACTTGTGAGCGCGTGCGGCGGCGGAAGCCGCTCGAGAATTGGCCGATCTAGATGGCCCAAAGGGTAGGAGTTGAACGCTCGGGGACCTGTTGACGCTGGAGCGCTGCACGTCGAGTCTCATGTTGGCGAGGGGTAAGTTTATAATTGCTATTGGGATGAGACATAAACCTTCTATAGAAGGCTCTTATGTAGAAAATGCGTATGGCGCGTATACGTACGCATGCAATGTGCATGTATTTGATGCATATGGATGGATGCAATATCAACTCAGCTTGCTGCGTATACGTACATGGATAATTAGACACGATCGGGCGGTCGCGAGCTGAAATGTACGTATATCCACGAAAGTCGTTCGAATCGCATGCATATATATGTACAGATCGGCGAGTGGTGAATATCGATCAGCTTCGCAGCTCTCGCATGGTCAAGGGGGGAGCAGGGGGTAGCTTATATATATCAGGCCTCTTAGGCGTTGAACGCGCAAAGAGGCCTATATATTCATATGCATATAGATCTAGAGCTCTAGATATATACATGAGTTGCCTAGTAGTTGCAGTTGCAGTTCTAGATCTAGACGGAAGTTTGCAGTCCGACGTCCACGTGATTCGTCAACGTCGTGTATAGTACGCGCTGCTACACGCACGCCATCTTCATTGCGAAGAGCAACTGCGATCTATTGGCGACGCTACAGCAAGATACCGTACGTGTAAGTTCGAAGATACATGCACACAAATTCCACTGACTCTGCTCCTACAGGTACTTTTTATCTCGCGAGTCCGAAGTAAAGTGTTCAACGCTATACTCCGCCCGTCCCGAATTTGGCTGCAACTGCAGACTTCGTTTCACTGTATTTCGACGCAAGCTGCAAAACGATATAGCACGCATAGATACGACGACGTCGACGCGTCTTATCATGCAGCTACAACCAGACTCGAATTCAGACCTATCTGATTTGACCGAATCGGAAGGGGAAACCAACCTCAGCGTTTTCATTCAAGACACGGACTGCGTCGCGTTCAAAAATAAGCTGGGGAAAAATTACACGAAACTCACGTTATGCTACATCTGTCATTCGCTTGATAGTGATAGGACAACATGCTGTTTTCGCAGTAAGAGATTTAGATAATGCGAATTTCTCGGTTCACGAAAATACAATTCCTATAGATCTCCGTCGAGTTCACGAGCTCCCCCAGTCCAAATTTGATTTTGACCTTCGGGGAGGCCGATTCACTCGCTTTAAATGCGAGGGTACCCTACGAGCGGAATATCCTGATTTTGTATATGAAAGAGATATATTTGAGACGGGTGTCACTGTTGACATTATACTGTTCCTGCAGGTGTGTACATATGCGTTCCGATGGCCCTGAGTTGAATGCCGGATTCCCACTCACGGTTTTTGAAGTCATATCTAGCTCCTGCTTTACTACCCATTGTTCGCAAGCAAGTCGAAATCGTCGATGCTCACGAAAAAAATATTATTCCGACGACAAGGTCACCGTACTGGAAGGACGAATGTGGTAACAACGATACGCTCACTTGGGTATCTACACTGCTTACGGTACATTATAGATGCTTGCAGCTGGACGTTAGATTTGGTATCTTGGATCTGCGAGTTATGCGGGCGACACTACTGCTTATCGTGTCAACCTTCACGTCAGAAGTGCTGCGACACGGAGAACGTACTTGTATCAGCAATCAGCCCCGTTGATATACACAGACTGGCGGCTGATCTTCAATCGGTCGCTACGCAGGGAATGCCTGTCCCTAGCCACGGCCTCAGCCCCTCGACCCCAGCTAGTTATCTGGAGGCCGTGGTTCTAGCCGCAAATGATCACCGACACATCCCAATCATTGAAGGGGAATGCGGACTCTCCGACTTCGACTATCTCTGGATTCGGGGCCTGCCCTTCGTGTGTAGGGACGGTGTTCGACCGGACGGAAAATGGTCTTCGGATTACTTAGCTGCATGTTTCGGTCCCGACAGCTGTACTCTGGTCGATTGTGAAGAGCCTTATGGCACACGCGAAGACATTGTAGATTCGTTCCTGCGATCGATGTCTACATCTGGGCCCAATGTGTGGAAGTTGAAGGTAACACATGTCCTGGGATACCACGGCAGTTATCCAACTCTGAGTCTCGACATCTTTAGGATTATCCCACCGACACGTCGTTCAAACTCAAAGCGCCCATACCCGCCCGAGCCTTTCAAAGGGCCCTTCCTGTACGCGAATACACCAGTGAATATGGTCGTTTGAATATCACGAATTTTTTCCCGGCAAACTATACTTGCATTCCCGACCTTGGTGTGTGAGTTTATACTTTTACATAGTTTCCCTTGTTGAGCTGTTATTGCAGGCCCCAAGCTATACGCGGCAATGACTAGCCGCCAGAATGGAAGCACCCGTCTACACATCGACATCTCTGACGCAGTTAATATCATGGTTGATGACGGCAAGGCGCTCTGGCATATCTTTTCCAGCGAACATTTGGAAATACTCAAGGAGTTCATTATTTCCGAATTGCGGGATGAAAAACAACAGAGCTTTTCCCGGATCGATTCTATCAGCTCCTATCACGTATATCTTACCGACGAACATCTCGAAACACTCAAAGCTCGTTATAATGTACGGCCATTCACATTTGAGCAGCATCATCGTGATGTTGTATTCATCCCAGCTGGCTGTGCTCATCAGGTTCGTGCAGCTAGCTGTCTGTTTCCTCCTCGCCCCATTATACTGATTTCCTCAAGGTCTCTAATATTACACCATGTGCCAAAATTGCCATGGACTTCTTGGCTCCTCAGAGTCTTCAACGATGCATCAAAGTTGATCGAAACCTTCGCACCTGCCGCCAGACAAACAAGGATACACTCGAGTTATCACTACTTCTGTTCCACTGCTGGATGGCACTATCAGTCTTCAAGATGCAGCTGAACCAAGCTGGGGAAACTGATATAACAGACAGTGCTCTTTCAAATCCAGCAAATAGGTATGTCTTCAATTACATTGGTATTGCCAGAATACTGATATGATGTTAGTGCACCCAACCCACACTCTGACTTCAGAAGTGCAGTCCTTAATGTTCTCAGTGAAGTGCAGCCCCCTGTGGTCACACCTGCTCCTTATGTTGGGACTTTGCCTTTGTCTGCCAATTTGTACTCACAACCTCATATCATTCCGTATCCTTATACTGTTCATCCCCATACATATGCACCTTCATCATCAGGGTTTCAACCTACTCCTGCTGCTTCTGTGGGCTCCTTTGCTTCTGTCTTTTCTGTAACACCCCATGCTGGCAGTGCTGTGCGTACTGTTCGAAAAACTCGAACATGTAAGAATTGCTCTCGCCCATATCCAGATTGTCGGGGTTCACAGCGTCGGAAGGATTGTGAATTTTATGAACACACAAACTAGATGACAATTAACTTACTTTTGTGTTCTGCCTTTGGGTGTCTTCTGTGAAAACTAGATTTTGTTGAAACTGTAGTCTATCCAACTCGTCATGGCAATGTGAATGTGTGAATTTGTAGCTGCCAAACACTTTCTTGCTTGGGCTGCCTGAAATGCGAAGGAGACACCCAAAAGTGAGAGGATAGATGCAATTTATCCACAGTCCGTCTGTGAGAGCATGTGAACCTCCTATTCCCCTATCTCTCCCTTTGAGCTTCACACCTTTGTCTGCGCGTGCACGTATATATACAGTCACTACCCATGTACACTTCTCATCTTCTTATGTTCACGCTCAATAGCACATTGAGCTTGTTCATTTCTTTTCCAGGATGCCTCCACGGAAAGCCCGCACCTCTGCTTGCCCATGCGACGCCAACGGCCGCTTTCTATCATCGTCCTACATAGCCACTTCATCAGTCGCTTCTGCCACTCCGCATCCCTCACCCCCAAACTCACCAACAGTCCCACCCACTCGGCCTTTGTCCCCAGTACTGGACATGGCAGGTGACACAGGCAACCAGGAGCCCAATCCCTTGGAGATGCGGGTCATAGGATTGGAATCGAGTGTGAACGAGATCCTTGATCTCCTTCGCAAAGCAGTGAGAAACCCTCCTCCCCCCCTCCTCCCCCTGTCCCTCCTGTCCCAGCGGTTCCAGCTGCCCTGGTCGCGCCACTCGTTCAAGGGCCCCCCCCCTTTGATCCCTTATGTGCCTCCTCCTACAGCCAACACCTCTATCGGTATGTTATCAATTCCTGACTTCTTTCCTGATGTCGATGCTGCAATCGTGGTATCTATTGGCAAGCACGAGTTCAAGCCGCAGCAGCTTGGCAAACTCATTCCCAGCGTCACTGCGAAGGCAACCACCACAATGTATGCTCTTGAGGACGGCACATTACGTGCAATGGACATGGCCCCCATCAAGGACCTCCCAGACTTCTCCACCTTCATGTGCACCTTGGGCGTGTATTTTCAAATCCTTTACTGCTACGCCGGGACGCCTGGCAGCATCCAAGCAGTGACCGATGTTGCCATCTCCACCCAGGCATACACCAACCTCCTCCACGAATATTCTCATTACTTCAGCTACCCTGCCATCCTCACCTACCACATCACTCACCACTCCTGCCGCATCAGGGAGATGATCAGGGGTGATTACTCCTTATGAGATGACGAGGATCAAGTGCTTGTCAGCCAGCTCCACCGATTGAGCATATACCAAGAAGTAAAGCCAGCCTCTCCGTTGTCTCAGAAGTCCTGCCCATCCTCATCCACTACCACTACTCGCGACGTCTCCAATCAAATCTGCAATCACTTCAACAACGGTTGGTGCTCGACAACGCCCTGCAAGACGGGACACATTCATAAATGCACCACTTGTGGTTCTACAGAGCACGCTAAGACAGCTTGCACCCAGGTCACCCCCAGCTCTTGAAGCCTCGGCAGGACGAGGGTCACACACCCTGAATCCTCCTCTCGTCCTCGCCCGCAGGATGAGCAACGTGATTCTGTCCCCTCCCCAACAATTTCTACTTTGCATACACCACCCCTAATTCCCAACCCCCTGTCCCTTTTTGCCCCTGGGCCCATACCTTCTGCTTGTCCTAACACAGACCCCTGTTGCAATCGCGCATCCCTCCGCTTATCCGATAACATTCCTATTAAATTGACTCTAGTCGCTTCACAATGGACATTTTATTTAGCAGAGTACCCCGATACTTGCGAGTTTGTACAGGTGTTGCTACATATAATAAATTATGGTGCCGCTATTGGATTTGCTGGTGACGATAAACCTCAGATGTGTCGAAACCTCAAAACGGCCACAGATCACTCCGACATCATTGACAAGGACATGAGCGTCCTTCACGCCAATGCCAGGATTTATGGTCCCCTATGCTCACCTCCTCATCCCGCCTTCCGCGCGTCTCCCTTGGGGACCGTTACAAGGAAACAATACTCAAACAAATCTTGGGTAATCAACCACCTATCCTGGCCGCCTGGTGGCTCTGTCAACAATGGAATTCCTGACAGTTGTTAAGAGCCACACTCACGGGGGCTCGGGAATACGTGGACCCGTGGGTGTGCGGTTCCACATAGAAGCGTGGGGGGAAATGAGGGGAGCGAGGACATACGGGCTTGGCTTCAGCTACTGGCTGCGCCTCCCATACTCTTGCGTGCCCTGTATTTCCAAAGAGAGTCCTATGTGGGTACCGAGGGTACGAGCAGAGGCGAGGGGATGCAACGGAGGGACTTCAATAGAGAGGCGAGGATGCGAGTGCGGAAAAGGAACTAATATTCGAACTAAGGTAACTGTATGTACGGTACAGGAAATATATACTGGGAAACATGCGGCGTCCACACGTTCACAAAACAGCAATGAGTCCGGTAGGAATAAGTATAGCATGCTCGAATATGTACAAGTCCAAAACCTGTGACAAGTCTGTGTAGCCGCGTATATGCACGGCCCGAGTCCGTAGCCGGAAATGCCTGTCAGTAGCCCCTAAGGGGCCTCCTGGATGCACCTATAACAACAGTGAAGGACACATTGTCTATGACACAGTATCTCAGGCTATTGCTGCTATTCAACGTCTTGGGCGACACTCACTACTAGCCAAGCTGGATCTGAAAGACGCCTTTTGCCACATTCCTCTACGGGTTGCCAACTATCATCTCATCGGTTGCTTCTGGGATGGCACCTTCTACGAGTACATGGTACTAATATTCGGACTCAAGTCTGCTCCATACATATTTAACCTCTTTGCGGAAGCACTCCACTGGATAATACAACACCACATCCCAGCAGAACTCGAACATTACCTCAACGATTTCCTCCCTATATTTGCCCCTGACACTCCTCTGATGCTCGCCAATGACGCAGTCACTTGGATTCAAGCTCTGGGCAATTTGTTAGGTCTCACCTTCCAGCCAGCGAAAACAGTATGGGCCACGACTCGTCTTGAATTCCTCGGCATTGAGCTCAACACCGTTGCAATGGAAGCTTGCTTGCCCAACGATAAGCTTGTCTACCTTAAAGACTTCCTCGCAACTTGGTCCACCAAGTCCTCCTGCAACCTGCACGAACTCCAGGAACTTACTGGGTTCCTGCACTTCGCATCACAAGTCATTCCCTACTCACGAGCATTCATACGTCACCTCATCAAATTCTCAACCACATTCTCCACCCCTCACTCCCTACGCCATATCCCATGCTACGCTCGCAGCGACGTGCGATGGTGGTCCACCTACGCAGCCTCCTGGAATGGCGTCACACTCATTGACCCACCCCATATTCGCCATCACATATTCATGGACGCCAGTGGTACTAAGGGGCTAGGGGGCACCTACAACACGCACTGGTTCAGCTCGCGAGTCCCTAGACAATTCAGGGGCTCCAAACGGGACATCCAATTCAAGGAGCTCTACGCCATGCTACAGGCCATTCTTCGCTGGGGACATCTCTGGAAACACTCACACATTCAATTCCACATTGACAACCAGGCCATCATCGCCGCTCTATCTAACCATACCAATTGGTCCCCTCACCTCGTCAAGCTGCTGCACTTGATACTCATGCTTGCCACTGCCCTACAATTTTCTTTTTCTTCCTCTTGGCTCTCCTCTGCTGATAATGCAATCACTGACACTGCCTCTTGTTTTCAATATGCTCGCCTATTCACACTCGCACCCAATCTCGACAAGAAGCCATACTCAGTCAACCCCCAGACTCTTGGTATCAAACACTCCCTCAGCACTCAAGAATCATTGCTTTTTATTTCTGGTACGGTCTTGCATCCAGCACCAGGTCCACCTACAGCACTGGCCAGAACTCCTTCATCAACTTCATTCACGACCCTATGTGCCGAGCTCAAGCTAATAGAAGGTTTGGAAAGAGCTAGACTCTTAAGTACTAGTTGGCCATAGAGCTAGGCACCACAGGGGTACAGGGTATTAGAGGCATGTGGCAATTGCAATCCCTAAGAGTTTTTCATGTGTGGATCTAAAGCTTTGATTGGATACATGTGCTATCTGATTGAAGATTATCTTCTTAGTTTGTTGATTATCTCTGAGGCTTTGCCATTGTAGCTAATCACAGATGAATGCATGTGCTCTTCTTATTTTCTTATCTTGAGTCTCATGGGTATTAATAGAAGCAGTACTAAGTGGGTTAAAAACTAATTTCACTCTCTCCTTTCCCCTTCCCCTCTCTTTAAGAGCTCTTAGCCATCAATGACTGCTCACTATCAACCTATAGTTTAGGGGGTACCAAGCAGAAGTTGATATTCATGAATCAATTTCTTCTTAAAGCAGATTGTGCTAGGCCTGGTGGATAAAATGATTATATAGTCGTGGTTCACCTTTGAGTTGAACTCAAAGGTGAACCATGACTATATGGTTTTCATCTTGAAGTTCAACTCAAAGGTGAATCAGAGCCAGAAGTTCAAGGGCCAACATCTTCCCCACAGTCCATTCATAATCATATCCAAATAAACAATCATCATCAAATATAAACTAGCCACCATTGAGCTTGTCAATAGGCCAAATGAAGAATTCCATAGGAGAGACTACTAGAGCAAAACCAAATGGCAGCTCACACAGGTTTGAAGCCAATAGAAGGGGCTTGATGTCACGGTGCAGGATGCCGTGATCATGAAGAAGCGCTAGCCGATCAATCTATGATGTATGTGATCTGAACGATGATCAAGGAGAAGTAATGCTGAGACTCACCAGTTGCATCCCAAGGCAGCAGACACTATGAAGGTTGGGGAGACAGGCTCATACCCCTTTCCAACAATGAGCTCCTGGACTCAGTGTCACCACCACTGGAAGGATCTTGAATAGTACTACTTTGGTGGCATGTCCTCCAAGAACCTTAGTAGGCATCACCACCACCAGGAGCATCTTGAGTAAGACTCCTTTGGTGGCATGCTCTCCAAGAACCAGAGCATCTTGAGTAAGGCTGCTTTGGTGGCATGTCCTCCAAGAACCGGAGCATATTAAATAGGGTTGCTTTGGTGGCATGCCCTCCAAGAACCTTAGTTGATGTCACTGATGGGCTGGTTATGGACCACAGACTACACTCTTATATTGCTTGTTTGGGTTAACATGTGATTCAGTGTGATTCAGGCCCAAATTGTCCCTGAATCTTGTCCTGAATTGAGCTTAAATCGTCAACTCTCACTGTCACTAATGCCTACAGTGGGGGTGGGGCATTATGAGATAGGGTACATTGTAGTGGCTTGTTAGATTTGAACAATCTAGGCGGTACAGGGGGGTTAAGGGGGTACGTGACTATGTAGATAGTTTCTGCCATGCCATGTATCATTTTCCTTATGTGTTTGCTGAAGTCCCAGTAAAACGCAATGCATGTACTGTAGGTGCAAAGGGGAATTCGCAGCATGTGTGAGTGAGGACAGGGAATGGTGTGTTCCCACCAAAAGCGAAGTAGGAATGAACGCAATCCAAATGCCACGTGACAAATGGAACGGAGGACGAGAATGCAGGAGGTGCCACGTGCGCACTGCTGGACTCTTCACAATGTGACTGAGGGGAAGGGGAAACTATACTTCTTCTTGTTCTGTAGGTAGATATGTAGCACTATATATACTTGTAGTATATGTGAATAACCATGCAATATGTGCATGTGTGATCAAGTAATATAGTACCTATCAAATGATGTGGCCGAAGCTGATACAGACCAAAACAAGAAGTAAACGAAATGCTGATATATGTACGATTAGGGCTGCCAGCTGTGACCGTAGATATGGTTTATATGTAGCCGTCTTACGGACTCCGTACTGTACCGTTGAGGTTGAATGTACTGTTTGCTATGGATGTAATGCGTGAGGAATCTTTGCCGTATACGGGTTAGGGACTTATGCTGTATACGGCGAGCACGGGTCAAGGCGTGTGAAAGTAAATGATGGATGCATGACAGAGCTGCGCGGGCTTGAACTCAATGTCGTCGGTACCCTGAATAGCATCGAACTCAAAAACTCCGCGACGCGACCTCGACATGCTCCTAGGGCATCATACCCATGCAGCCCCTGTTGTTCAGGCTCCATGAAGTGTTATCATTGTGTGAGCACGCAGTGATTGCCCGGGAACTCATGGATAGACGAGACATGTGTTGTGGAACTGTTTGAAAGCTGGTGGACCAGAGAACACGGTACGCTAGCTCGAGGCTTACTTTAACCAACACTACAAGAAGACCATTTTGATCCCCTTGTCAGCAGCAAACTCTGCTCAGTCGGTCACCTCCGAGGGTTCCGAATCATCTGAAGTTCGAGTTGACTTCATGGCATGCTATCAACGCAAGGAACGTACATCCATAAATGAATTGGCCGAGTACTGGAAACTCCCACAAGAAGATCCATATCTCTTCGGCATGCGAGTCTCAAACCTCAAACCATCGAGACACTGATGTTACTCAAGCAGCACCTTCGTCTTGCTCGCCGCAAGGTTTCCAATTAAGTAGATATGTACAGTACGTACAGTGCTACATGATGCGAGAGAAATAGAAATGTTTTTTACCGTAATTACAGTCGTATCACCGTACAATGTCTGTACCGTACCGTCTTGGTAATCTGCGTCGAGCGTATACGGACGGCTGAATCCTATAAGTGCCCGTACTTAGGGCGTAATCATACGGCCATGACCGTATATGGTACGGGTAACAGCCCTATCAGTACGATAATTCATGTATCCGAATCCGAACACGGTCCAATACCTACACTACTTGATTACTCTGCTATCGCGTGATCACTACTAGCTTATTTTAACATGGCTCTGCTGATATTGTAATGTGGACTGGGGGGTTAACAAGCAGACCCCATTATAAGGTGATTTTCCAACACTGGTGTATTTGTATTTATTTGTGAAAACCCATGATCAATATACAACTAGGGGAGCTCAAAGTTGGCACATAAGAATCCGCGTACGCATATGCGCGCATACGGCCGAGGTGCCGTCGATTATGTAATGGTATTTGAGTGTCACATATCCGAGTAGCGCCCACGTAGCGCTGAACGCAGCATATCACTGTTGAAATAAGCCGGTGAGGTTGCGCGAGTTCCGAGTGACTAAGTAGATATATTGTGTTTGGCTGGGACTCCAGCAAACGCATAAAGAAAATAATACATGCGCGCGACACGATATTACAGTAGTCACGTGCATCCCCTATACCCCTGTACCGCCAAGATTGCTGAAATCCAACAATCACTTCCATTGATCTACACTGATCTACTGCAATCATGCCCCACGCAAGGATCCACGACAAACTCAGGCATGCATATCTCACTCATATGAAGAGACGCGACGGGAAAAGAAGAGATGCGACAACGCGTTTACGATGTGACGAAAGTGTGACATTTGATTACATAATTGACGGCACCTCGGCCGTATGCGCGCATATGCGTACGCGGATTCTTATGCGCCAACTTTGAGCGGGACCTACTCCTTCTCCACCATGGCCAATCTGTCACGGTTTCGCGTGTTTCAACGCGCGACACTGGCTAATCTAGATATGTCAACGTACGCCTTGTGTACGCCGGCCCTCGGTGTAGCTCTAACATAGTTCCGTGAGCGGTTTCCGTTGCTTACTGTCACTAACAGTCACCAATGGTTGCTTCCTACTTCACACTCAAGACGAACCCAGAGCTCTTTCAATTATTACATAGATTGCTTGCCTTCAAGTTGCTGGCGCTTTGGACATACACTGATTCTATACAATTACCATTAACTTGAATACAGGCTATATCAATGTATGTCATCATCTATGCATCCGGCTGAGGCTGTCCGCGTCGCCCCCCATTTCGTCGTGCCAGCTAGACGAACCTAGGCACATGTCTTATGCTAAGCGAGCTACTCCAGCCAGCTACACTCACCTAGCCCAAGCTTAAGGTACGCGGATGCTCACGACCATCGTGCAGCTTGACAATCCTAAGGTTCATCTACAGACCTAGAATCACCTCCGGCCTTGTACGCCCACCTAAGCTCGCTTAGGGTACGCAACCGCGGAACGCAGTGAGTGGTATCGTCGGCAAATACATGTCGCTCTATGTATCAAGAGCCAGGTTAACGTTGTTGCAAGCTAGTACTATGTCTCCCGTGCACGATACCTCGCGATCGAGGCAGACGCCGCCGCCACAATATATATATAATTGCATCGATGCGTGTTTGCGGCCTGGAGACAGCTGCAGACGGACGTTTCACGCGTATACGGCCGCTTGAATACTAGTACTAGTACTAGTACTTGCATGTCTTTGCAAGGCGCATCGATAGATCATGTACAGAGCTAGCTATAGGGATCGTCTAGCGGCGCTGCAAAATTCCTTGCTTGTATTTGGTCTGGTGATTACATTTTCAGTAAGAGCACCTCGTCGCTCGACCGCAGATCAGCGTGTATATATGTTTCACTACCCGTTGAAGTCACGCCCTTAAGCTCATTGCAAACTCATGCTCTTAGGATTGATGCTTACTCGGGGAATATACTGCCGTGGCCGGATAATGTACGTATGAGACCTTGCGCCCGCAATATATATGAACTGGGCACCGTCGATCGCGAACGAATTCTCATGCCAGACTCTACATGAGTCTGACTCGGGGAATGGTCCAACCAATCATGCACCACATATGACCGTCTTGATGGTTAGGTGCAATATTAATGTCTAGATTTATTAATACGCATGAGCTCCTGAGATGTCCACCCAAAACACCTCAATTTCGGTCATATTCAAGTAGAGATCGTCAGATGATTGACGTACTAATATGCAGCCATCCATGGCCGTGTACCCGTGCTTAGCTGCAATATTAATGTCTATTGAGACGCATGAGCTCCTGAGATGTCCACCCAAAACACTTTTCGGCTGTATTCACATACGTAGAGATTGTACATTATTGTCGCATTGCAGTCAACAGTACTGCATATGCATATGTGACCATATATGCATGTACCCGGAATATCGAACAAAGGGCGTGAACGTGGCACGCGCTGAGGTTACGTACCCGAAATATCGAACAAAGGGCACAAACGTGGCACGCACCGAGGTTACCCCGAGAAATTGAGGTTACGCAGATTGTCTCGTATCTCATCACGTAGGAATTATGATATGGGTCGCTACACAGTATATGCGCATATATATATGATGAGGGTTCGAGGAAGTAAGCTAAAAGCCATCTTGTGAGAGCAATCTAGTGTGGGTCCGAAACATGGCGACATGGCCAATGATGTATTGTGGGTCCAGGGAACATGAACTGACCGTAGCTGACGTCAATCACAACGTCAATCACAACTTATACGGACATCGAAAATATAGATAAATAGGTATATTTTTTGAAGTTTATGATTTACGCCAGTTCGAACTGAGAATACTGATATGAGACTATGATCAAGAAAATCGATGGACAAAAAACCCTATCATATTAATCGACAGGACACTAGAACTGAGTTTCAGCGAGCCAACCTATGTATGCATTCTTGTTGGTTACCAATGACTAGATGAGAATCGCAGCAACTCACCTGAACAGCCTATTGTCGTGCTGAAATTCGTAACGTTGATTAGTGGCGCGAACGGTGAAATCGGCCTGGGTTTGTTGCTCAAGCCACGCTGGATCGTAGGCATTGACGGGGAGGTCTTTGACGGCCCTCGCGGTACGATCGACAGTACGCGTACGTGAGGTGCGTAACCGAAGTCGAGGATACTGGCCGCGGAGATCGTCGCTGTTACGGCGGGAAAACAAGTGGATTGAGTCGAAGGGTTCCAGCCATTCACCCACTTCGCGCGCTCTCCAGCCAGGGGCAACCACCCGAAATATTGGGCGCGTCGGGTTAGCTGGGTCTTCTCCTCCACGGCCATCCTCCACATCGGATTCGTCGCTAGACATGCCATCGGGTCCCAAACGCTGCATGATGTCTACATGACGCTGTAGGAGGGGGTGTTGTTGGGCTGCTTCCAGCCGTAAATGAAACAACTGAACTCATATAGTAATTACTCAGGGGGTAGTCTGCAAGGCTAAACTGACATACCGCTCTCTTGCGAGTTTTTCGTCGTGCCAAGGACTGAGCGCGACCTTGCTCGGCGGCGTTCAATTGTGATTTCTTGTAATTTTGCTTCAAGGACTTGATCCAAGTGAAAAATGCGTCCGTAGTCGCGGTGTGGTCTAGGTCCGCCTGGGCCCAGCGACGGAATGCTACTGCAAATACTCGCGCTGCAGATTGATTCCATGGGCTTCTTGGCGTCCCAAGGAGATCATATCGGAAATTGTCTTCGTCGCAACAAGGAGGGACATTGATACCCTTACGGGCGTTCCACATATTGGCATAGTTTTGGGCTTCTTCTGCGCCCACTGATGGTTGTAGCAAGTTATCCTCCCCGACAAGCAGGGTGAAGAACTTTCTAACTTGAGACTACAAATATAGGCTGTTGTCAAAACGAAAGAAAATGGGTGGGGCATTTAACGCACTGCAAGAAGGGTTACGTCTGGACTCCTTCGCTTCGCGTTGCCTGTAATCTTTGGTTGGCTGCGCTTGCTTCGACCAGCCGCGGGGGGTGTTGGTGTCTCTTCTGCAACACGACGTCCTAGAACCTGTTGGATGAGGTCTGCCGTTCTTTCAAACCCGATACCAATTTGTTGCACAAGAATTTGACGATCTGCCCGCATCTCGTCGACCAACCCTTGGATGAGACCATATAACTCGGCATGAGGATCCGCCCCCTGGTCCTGCTGAGGGGGACCACCCCGTGGGCGATCGCGATCTTCTTCATCCCTCCATCGATCTTGCGGAAGTTCTTCTCCATCCATCTGTCCGCCCTGCGCTCGTCCTTCGCCACCCCTCTGTCCATCCTGTCCTTCATCACCCCTCTGGTCATCATGTGCTCCTCTTTCGTTGTCCCTGTGTCCGTCCTGCGCTCGTTCTTCGCCAACCCTCTGTTCATTCTGTGCTCGCCCTTCACCATGTCCCCTCTGGCCATCCGCTGCTCTTTCATCGTCCCTCTGTCCGCCTTGCGTTTCACCACCCCTCTGGCCGTCCTGTACTTGTCCTTCTTCGCCCATCTGGACATCCTGTGCTCGCCCTTCTTCATCCCTCTGCAAATTCCCTTCAGGTCCAGGATATCCGTCATCTTGAGAGCTGATTTCGATATCTTGATCACGCAGTGATTCCACCACCATAGCGTCGCGATTTGATTCCATGTTCATCTGGAATGAGCTATACCATTCATTCGCGGCACCCGGTACCGAGTGATCATTCGCCTGTAACCCTGGGAGTGGTATGTCTATCTCGTCCAGCAAGTCGTTGAGGGCCCCGGGCGTCATTTCAGCGACTCGCGCTTGGTGCTTGGGACTCATCGCGTATGTTGTTAAAGAGTGAGCCGCAGTGAACGAAGTGGTCAGAATTCGGTTAATGAGTCTAAGGGTATTCGAGGCGGCGCCAGCTAGGCATACTTCAATCAATATGAATTATACTCATCATTGAACCACATCCACTTACAACCTCTGTTGCGGTCACTAGCAACGCCTAAAGAACCCGCAACCTCTGAAAGAAAGAGTTAACCAGGGAGGGCGAATAAATAGAGGATATGTACCTGGACTGATTATCGAGTCGTAGGCATCAGCAGCAGGCGAATGGCTGTTAGAGGCGGCTTGGGTCTGGCCGGCGAGACTTCTTTGAGAATTCCTCCGCATGTCAGAATCGCCAGAAGTGGATGGTGATCGTGAATTGGGACTGAGGAAGACAGGGTCCGTCTCATGTGATGTGGTCGGCGAATGGATTCTTTGTTGATTGGCGTCGTCTGTCTGTGGAGGAGGCTCCCCGCCGGTTGGGTGGCTCACCAGACTTCCTTGGGAAGCCATGATAAGAGGGGCCTCTGAACGGCCGCCAGAAGAAGTGCCGGCTGCTTGTTTACTGAGAAAGATAGCAGGACTCGGATCACCGCGTGTCCTCAAGAAAGTTCTTCTTTGTCGATTTGCAAGGGCTAAAAGACCGGGGTCTGGTTTGGGAGTCAATTGCAACGAACGCTGGCGCTGGCGTGTCGCAATTGCCTGCAGTCGCGTGGGAGGAGACGATTCGAATTCAGCGTGCCTGCTGTAAGTTTCTGAAAGGCAAGCCCTTTGATAGTAAGAATCGGCTGCCACTGAGTGAGGCCGCTGCGGGTAGCTACAGACTGGGAATTCTAGATTTTAGGGACAGCGAAAGTCATCTAGTGCATCCGACGTGACTGACCTGGTTTGCCACGCGGTCTGCGAACCGGACCCGCGCCCGAAATGTGCGCGGGACCGGCAGGAGCCACAGCTGCTATATGCATATGTATTTTCAAAGCTTTTTGAATAAAGAAGGAAAGCGTACATTGTTGGCGCCAGTGGAAACAAGAGATACGGGCCGCGAATTCGGAGTAGCTCTGTCTGGGCTCTAGAGGATATTCGTCAGTACTATTTGTGAGTAGTGAGCGCGAATTTATGAACATGTACACGTACGGCTAGGGCTATAATAGCTAGTTAGAGCATGGCCGTGGCCATGGTGTGATGTCGATTCATCACTTTCGTGGGTTGGCGGTGCCGGGCTGCCGCGACCGGAGGGTGCAGTTGCGAAGCTTGCTGCATAGCTATAGCTAGCATAGCTAGTAGCTTCGAATTCGTTGTCCGTTTCTCGCATTCGATATTGGTGCGCATTCTTTATTGGATAGTGCGTATTCTTTACTGGCCATGAATAGGGTACCATGGCCATCATCTTGAAGAGAGTGCTATGATGTGCATGTTCGCCGGTACGTACGTATACATATATACATGTAGCGTTATACAAATATCTAGATTGGCTTCCATTGCAGTCTTGATCATCAGCGAGTTGAACTCGTTGATGATCTGATCGAGACACGTCGACGGGAGCGTTATAGCACTGGCAGCTGACGCGCCCTATAGTTCGTGAAGACTAGTACTCCTTATAAGGAATGTCTACGCACGCCTCAAAGGCAAGCCAATTTCAAAGTCCGCCGATCGGCGCCACGCATGGCGACATGTTGCGCTGCTAATTGGGGCCGTCGGGCCATGCCCATGCCCATCATGTATGCACGCATCATCAACGAGTTCAACTCATTGATGAGGCTACAACGTGAAGCAACGCACGGGCTCGAGCTCGCGATCAATTATGGCCTCATGAATGCAAGTACTTACGTTTGAATCCGTTTCCATTATACTATAAATGTATTTCCTTTTCTCGTGGAAATAGCATACTATAGCCACTTCGAACGCGCCCCGAATTCGACATATATGCCTTCGTCTTTCCTTGGATCGGTTGCTTTACAGAAAGCGAAAGTTCGACTTGGGTCGCCGCACGTTTGCGTTACAAGGATCAAGTACTCATCTCCCGCCCACGGATTGATTGCGGTGGCAGATTTAGACGGCACTCTGACCGTACGTGACTACGGAGATGAGAAATTGGATTACTGGACCTTATCTATCTTATTTATTAGGTTCATGATGCCCAAGACCTCACAATTATTCGTCGCAAAACTGTGTCCCAGTCGGGAAGTAGTCCAAACGCTATTCGAGCTTTGGAATGGCATCCCAAGGAATCAGAAGTTTACGTCGGATTTTCCAACGGCAACGTCATTGGATATGACATTGACAAAGATATGAGATCACACACGAAGGTATGTCTTCATTCGCGAGTTCAACTCGCGAACGGAGTCCAACTTGTGCGCGCATATACATTGGTCTGACACCCCAGTTAGGATCCCTACCATAGACTCTCTTTCGATGGCCCGATATACGACATCGCATTTTCTCCGTCAGGGTCTCAGTTTGCCGTTGCATACGGGGAGCAAGTTAAGATCGTCAAACGACGGTCATTCGGTAAGTCAAGCCCTTCATTCAGCAGGAGAAGCCTCATATATATATATATATATCAGGCAAATATCACGAACACGATCTAGGTATACGGCCTCGAACCAAGCCACAGAAGCTTTTTTACTACGAGACCAACTCGCTGGTTGTCATTTCTCTGCTCAACCTACCTAACAACATTCCAGCGGCAGTGTATGTGTCTTTAGAGACTTATTTCTTTGCTTTGGCATTTGACATTTTACTCGCAGTGCCTACTCCACCGACGATTCGCGTCCTGGGACTCTATGGACCGTCTTTACCACAGCCTCGGACACCATGTAAGCTTCGAATATGAACCTTCGCTTTAGGTACTGACTGATGAAGCAAACCACCGTAGCCTCACAGCGGCAATGTCTCCAACACAGGATCTTATCACTATTGTGCATGTGCATTCTGGAGCGGAGTCGTACTCAGTTCCCGGCCGCAATCTTCTCCTCAAACAAGAGATATACGAACACGGGGTTATCCGGAAGGATCATATATACGGAGTCGACATGGTCTTCGTCGATTCAGACACCGTTGCCATAGGGGGGGCCGAGTCGATCCTTACGTTCTCAAACGTTAGGACAGGAAACAAGCATGACTCAATATCTGCACCTGTTCTTAGAGATGCCTCATCATGTAGTCTACGGAGATTGGTAAGAACTACCGAGATGGTATCCTCAAGGTTCACTCTAGGCTGACCTCTTATTCTATAGGACGTCACTCGCCGACCCAGCGACCAGACTTTCCGGCTCATAACCGCAGATAGTAACGCTAGGAATATCAACTGTCACATCCTCCAATTCTTAGAGTCTTCTCCTTCGGCTCGAGATACACAAAAGGGAAGAATTTTTGGGCTGGGTTGCGGCAAGATTTGGGTTGCGATCTTCGTGGTAATGCTTGGGGTTGCGCTGCGGAAGTCCGCCATCCTTACAGCTGCTGTACGCTTTTGGCCAGACAACATCGCTTTCGACCTTCCCTTCAGCCTTCCCCTCAAATTGCAAGCCGTGTCTGTTCCAGTGATCGCGTCAGAACCCGTAGCTGCGTCAGGTCCAGTGGCTGCGTCAGAGCCCGTGGTCGCATCAAAGCCCAGAGCTGCATCTGACTCAGTGGTTGCGTCAGAGTCGGTGGTTGCGTCAGAGTCGGTGGTTGCGTCAGAGTCGGTGGTTGCGTCAGAGTCGGTGGTTGCGTCAGAGTCGGTGGTTGCGTCAGAGTCGGTGGTTGCGTCAGAGTCGGTGGTTGCGTCAGAGTCGGCGGTTGCGTCAGAGTCGGTGATCGCATCAGAGCCTGCCGCACCGGCGAGCCGCCTTCGTGTAGACGCCACCGAGGACATCTCTCCCCACCAATCGGCTTCGCAGTCCCATGTTCTATCAACCCCGACGACCAACTTGGCGCCTCTTTCATCCCCCTCTTTACACCTCTCAGAATCTAGGGTCATCTCGCCTGAGTCGACTCGCGCAGACCTCGAATCTTCTGCAAGTATCGAGTCCAACCACGACGACTCTCCACCGGCCAGCGACCCTATTGGCGAGGGCACTCCTACCTTCGTTGTTACAACGACGCTACTTGAAGCCACACCGCCATCCACTGTCACCGTTATTCAGATGACGGAGCGGATCATCACTATACGAGAGCCAGGCATATCCATCGTTGCGCACTACTTGATTGCCTTTTCGGTGATTTCTCTCGCCTTCACCGCCTTTTACAGGCCAGAATTTAGAGCATGGGTCACTCGCCTGAAGTCCAAGGGACCTAAGGAAGCACTGGTTACGGTGGACTGCAAGCAAGAACAATTGGAAGGAAAGGAATATTTGGGGAGTATTCCCGCTGTGCAGCTGAGTCCTAGGGGAGCCAAGGGAGAACTGGGAAACGTGCCCACGACTAAGCCAGTCAAGACGGACGACCAGGAATAATTGGGGAGTCGATTTGTATTCTTGTTGGCTCAATTCTTCCGCGTCTCAATGTCTATATATATGAGAGATCCTGTACTAGTGTAAGGTCTATATATTATTGCTTGCAAGGTCAACGGTAACGCTCAGCATGTGATACATTCCCCTTTCTCAGCCCCCTGCCCCTGACTGAGCAGACAACTCACTGCGCTGATCAGCGCAGTGAGTTGTCTATCTTAAGTTGTTGTGCAAATGTCTGTACTTAGGTTATGCGAACATCAACACGAACTTTACGAGCTCGAGTGCAATCCAGACCAGCGAGAAATTTACGGTTTAGTTTCTTATCCAACAACGGGCAGCACTTCGTACGAGCATGCAGATCTGGCAGTTGGCTGTTCTTCTGATAATTAAAATACACTCCGTCGGCTAACGACGTTGACGGGTGTCACAACTACAATGGCGTTGTCGGAGAGCGAGGTGAGATTCAGACAGCTTGGGTATGGGCTTCTCTGTGGCCGATGCATCCCCGCCTTGCAAGTGATTTCTTGTATACAACACAAATGTGCGAGCGAGGGGAGGCCGGGAGAATAGGCTCAACATAGTCCACGCTTTGACTTCTGTGACATAGAGCCTGCATCAAGCAAGGTATGTAGATGTACTTAAGTGCTGCAAGCGCCACCTGGTATTAGGTATAATCAGTAACCCATATAAGGAAACTAATTAGGCTGAGTTACAATATTTTTACTTGGTTCTGGGAGGTTCTGGACTTCCGATTTTGACTGTCAGGTGACTGTGTTCTCGCCAAAGTTAACGGCGCTCAGCTGTGAACGTTCACCTTCGTATCCGTATGCTCTGCTCTCGAGAAGTACAGTGTTCAACGCTATACTGCCTTGGGTGATCATTGGGAGTCAAGACGCATGCACCTAATAATCGAGGATCAACCCCGGCCGCACCATGATCATCGATATATACTGCAGCTTCGTGATTTGGTGCTGCCGTTGCGATTGCGTTGCCTTAAGTGGAGCCACTGGTGATTAGTTCACTCGTCCTCTCACCCCTGGCCATCTAACACTCACGCCGCAGGCTTGTCAGCTGTCTCGAATCTCTTCGAGCTTTGTGGGCCTCTAATTATTTGTGAGTATTCCTTTCATCGTGTGCTCATTCGTCACATATATACTCACTGACATCTATTGTGTGCCCTATCGTGACCCCAATTTACTCTTCCAACACAAGGTCTGTCTTTCACGCAGCTATCGTAATCTCCAACCCGCCTACAAAATTTTGTAGGCGGGTTGGAGATTACAGATGCCGAGTTCGGGAGTGGCTGGTTCTCTAAAGTCTTGCCAAAGATGGCAAGTCAAGTAGCTATAGAAATTGCACAACTATGTTCAGCTTCCACGGATGGGATCATCGATCGTGCTCCAGTCGATAAGGTACAGCTTCATTCGCATCGCCTTCTGCGACGGGGGTAAGAGCGGCCGCAGCAGGTCTCGACGACCCTTTCGTCAGCCACTCACCATACCGTTGCTCAGCGGTAGCTAGCTAGGACATCGCACATATATAATTATACGGGGGGTAGCTTCAACCCGACGATGTCTCAATATCTCAGGCGGCGTTTCTAAGGGGACGACGAAGCTATGATAAGTATAATGAAGAGGAAAATGGCAAATAGCGCTGATGCGCATCATGCCACGGGCGTCGGACAGGGATTAAATGGGAGAGGCGCGCGAGCGTCGGGATTTGTCATCGGACACCAACTCACTACCAAAATGGGCGAGCCGCGTAAGGAATCCATCCGGCCGGGCGTCGGCATTCGTCCAAAAGGGGCACCTACATCCACAATTAAGCCGGCCGACGTCCCTTTCATAACTCCCCAGCTACCTGTCCATGTCGCCCAGCGTCACTCCTCGCTTTGCTTTTTCTCTCTATCTCATCAAGTCAGCCGCTTGGCCTTTCTCGATCACCCCCAAGCCCGCCTCCCGCCATCCACCTTCGACTCCCAACTCTAATGCTCCCAACTTTCTCGGTCCCCCCAACGCCATCTAACACGACGCCCGCGTCTCACAACCAGGCCCGGCCTTTACCCAACCCAACCCCTGCCGTCGTCTATTACATCCCTGGCAACTACGCGGCGCGAACCTTCGGGCGCCCCATAAAATCTCCGTATCCCCTGCAGCATTGAACCAAAATGGAGTCTGCACGCCGGAGCTCCCACCAATGAATGAAAAATCAACAAAAGCCAGGCCTATAAACTCTGGGAAACCTCTGGAACACCGCAAGCGCAGAAGAACCTCGAACAAGAGAACCAAAAGACAGCCGGCGGGGAAACGACCAGAAAACAGCGCAGACGAGCGCACGTGCGCCGTGCTGGCAGCTGTGGAATGGGGTGGGCTAGCGCTGGTCGGGATTACGAGACGAAGCGTCAAAATGGGCGTACTCAATGGGACGAAAAGGATCAAACGGTCGAAATGCACGGTATTTTCGTAGGCGTCGTCATCCTTGTCCGCGATCGCGATCGCGGAGTGCGAGGAGGAAGGGGAAAACTTCCTACAGCGCAGGAATGGGCGTACGCAGTCCAGCACTCCATAAATCCCACATCCCACGACACCAGACGCCGGTGCGCGTATGTTAGAACTCGAACAAGGAGGCTGGGAGGTTAGAGGGGGATGGGCATGAGCTTGGACGGGCGGGTGCGTAGATGAAGGGAGAACGTTACCACCGGGGCAGGGGGAGACGCGAATACGGACGCTGATGGATGAAAAGGGTATGGAATGCGAACGAGGAAGGGGACAATGGAAACCACGAATGCCGAAGAACATGAACGCCCACGAGGAGAGGGGAAACGCACGAAGAAGACCATATTGCACCGAGGACTTGAGGACACGAAAGCAGCCGTCATCATCTACGATTCACGAGGGGAAGTCAGTACGCATACGAAGAGGGAGGGAGTGAGACGGAAGGAACGTTTGAGGTCAAACGGGTCGAAAACGAGCAACACAGGGAGAGCTGGGGCGGTGGCCAATCTCGCTCGACGAAGGCAAACGAGGCTGGACTTCAACGTCGCGATACGAACAGAAAATCACGTTTATTGAACTTGTGACGACGCTCAGCAGATCCATAGGCTTAAGCGTACACTACATTAAGTATATATTGTCCCGACCACTGGATTCAATATTGTTCTGTGGATCATTTGTATTTGCGATGGCTAGTATGTACGACAAACGATGAGAAGGTACAAATAATTGCTTTCAGCCATCAAACCTCCCTCCTTCTCACCGTCACCAACAACGCTCAAAGGTACGCCCTGCCTTTCATACGGCTTTTCTCTTCTGACTCTCGCTCGCTCACAGAATCATGTCGATTAACCAAACATACTATACCCCCGACGTTACTCACAAACTCGCGATGGACGTCTACAACGCCGCGATTCTGCCCTTTGGCGATTGCATCAAGAATGGAGACGCGCTCTGTATCACGTAAGATCGCTGTTATCCTAACGTTTCAGCAACTGAGGACTGTGAGTACAGAGGCGCGTCGAAATCTCCTGGACTCGAACTATCGGCGACCGTATACGTATATCGCAATGGATTATTGCGAGCTACAATAACCGTCGACGGTAACGACCCCGAATTCGCATCATACGACGGCACACGCGGTCCCGTAGAGCTGCGCGGGCACTACTTCCCCCTCAGATTCGGTCACTAAATCCTCGTATTCCATACATATATCGAATCCCTTCTTGCGCGTGTATCACTTACAACTTGGAATGAATACATACCGATCGATCGATCGAAAACGGCCGGTGATATTTTGAATATACATTGATTGATACTCAGAGTATGAGCTCATTAATAGGTGTGATTAAATGGAAGAGATACCTGGGAGGATATGCTGAATATCACCAACATATCCTCCCAGACAAAAGCTTGGGGATATTTTGATTTTAATCACTCAAGGTAGGTCTGATTTTCATCTAAGATAATTCCAGGGTATCCTCTCAGAGGAATTTTTTATTGTCAGCTTCATTTAATCACTATATCTCCCTTGAATGATATGATGATGTTATTTACAATTTCAGTGCATGGGATATGATGATTTTATTTTGGTTGAAATTCAGAATTTACTATTAAATATTGCTGTCAGAAGTACGGTGTTTAAAACTTGAATAATATCCGCGTGTCATCACAGTATCACCGTCAATGTTTTCGGGCAATGCCCGCAGTGAGGGAGAGGTTGAGATCTATATGGACAATCAGTCCGTAATCCAACGGCTGGAATCGGGCAAGAGAGGCACAGGACAATACATCCTGGAGCGGGTCGAAGATACGTTAAAGCTCGCCAAAGAAAGGGCAGCGGAGGCCGCGACTCCCCTCAACATTAGCCTGCATTGGATCTCAGCGCATGATGATGTCGTGGGCAACGAGCGGGCAGACGTGCTGGCAAAAGAAGCAGCCACAGGAGTGGCGCACCCAGCTGAGCACCTCCCCTCCCTACTCACTGACCACCCAAGACTACCCTCCAGCAGAGCAGCTGTACGACGTGTAGCGCGCATGCGCATCCCGCTCCGCTGGGAGGCAGCGTGGCGCAAGTCTGTTCGAAAGCCAAAGCTAGACAGGATCGACCCGACACTGAAGGTTGGGAAGTATTTGGGCATGGTCGGGGACTGGAAGAAGAATCGCACTAGCGTCATCACACAACTTCGTACCGGACATGTTCCTCTCAACCAGCACCTTCACCGAATTAAGAAAGCCGATTCACCGTTCTGCCCCCACTGTAACGACAAGGAGGAAACAGTCCGACACTACCTACTCGAGTGCCCAGCGTACGACGTGGAGCGGGCAACGATGCAGACAGAGTGCAAGAATTTCGACCTACCGCTGAAAGTGCTGCTATCCACAGCAGGAGGGACGGAGGCCACCATCGCCTACGTCCGACGCACCAGGCGCTTTGACAACCCCTTTGGCAGTCTGGAAGGAGACCTAGTCGCGCCTAGAAGGGCGGCCGTACTGAAGGAAAAGAGGGAAAGGCAGAAGGAGCGGAAGGGGAAGAAGAAGGAACAGCAGAAGAAGAAAGGGCGGGAAGGGGCGGCGCGGCACAGATGAAGGCCACGACCGCGATTTGCTCGCGCGCGGGCCGCAATCTGGCGGGGTAGGTGAAGGTTTTCTGGCAGCAACTCCTCAAGACTCCCTCAAGACTTTACTTTTCTTACCTTGACAGATAGCCACGGACTCGCTCTCCCTCGGGACGAGCACCTAACAAGAGAGGCCACAGGCCAAGAAGTCGTCCAACCCACACCATATGGCTACCCATAAACACACTAGCGTCCGAAAAACGGCGGTTTCTGTCGCTGGGCGGCAGGGGGACGAGGTCTAGGACCGTCCGTCTGTCGTGCAAGACGAGCTAGGGGTCAAGGTGGGCATGGGGCCCTTTATTTACTTATAAGTACATACAGGTAGAACTAGATACAGGCAGTACAGAGCCGTCCGCATGGAGCACCTCCGATGGACGTTAAACAGAGACCAAAAAAAAAAAAAAAAAAAAAAAAGGGCGTCTCGTAGGACCTTTTGGGTATATGGAAAGGTCGAAAAGTATTGCAATAGATCTAGTTTTGAGAATTGTGGCGCTGAATCTACTGCAGCGGCCTCGCAACGGTGCAAAATCCTGACAATTGCACCTGTCCAAACTTCGCAAGCTTCTTGACATAGCTCGTTAGGGTGGGTGGTGGTGCTACTCCTCCTTGCGAGAGCCCGAACAATCTTGTCGCCACTTTCGTCGAATGCACCCTGTTTCCCTACGACATAGCGGTAGTACGCGAGCCCCACGGGGATGACGCGCATCAGCGAACCGTTGCCGCTGAACGCTGGCTTCGAGAGATCTTTGGCGATCTTTTGCAATGCACGTTGTTGTTTCGATTGCCGATCAGGGTTATTACTGGTGTCTGCGGAAGAGGGCTTCAGGGATTCGCCGCTGAGCTTGGAGCGTGGCGGCTCGGTGAGCGCGGTCCACGTTCGCAGTGCGTTCGCGATGGTGTTGCCAATGTCGAAGCACCTCCCGATGGCGCTCATCTCCCCGTCTCTCCACCACTGTACATATGCATCCAACTGGTCGGCTTCATCAAACCCATCACCGGGCTCCCCGCCAAGTCCATGTCGAGATTTGAATGTTGCGATCGACCACCCCAAACATAGAACCATGCTCGTATCATCCGTCCAGACCCCCTTCTTCAGCGGCTCGCCATCCTCGTCAAAGTTAGCGTTCTCTGTCATCTCATCAACGAATGGGAATGTGAATCGACGATGGAATTCTGCTGGACCGCCGAGTGCATCTACAAGGGCCGTTCCGAGGAGGGCGAAATGGATTTTGGATTGGGGGGTGGACAAGATCAGGCGCTGAGAGTTGAGTACAGCATGCGGTGGTGGGGCAGACATTGCTGTCGTTCAAGGATGCGATTGGTAGCGTCGTTTTAAATACTCTCTGGGAAGGCTGTGCCTTGCACGGATGGCGGTATTGGATCCTCTGCGGACGTTCCTCGCGAATGCACAACTTCGAGTTAAAGACAAGAATGCGAGCACAGCGAGGGAAAATTCTCCATTTGCACCAGAAAAGTTGACGAACCTATTTCATGCATTCGGAGTCCGGACACTTCGGCATTGGTTGAAAGTGAAGAGGTAACGAACCATGAATGAAAACGGGCGCCTGGTATCACATGCTTTCGAGAGGGGTGCAGACGACAGGAGCGCAGACACAACGCATTGAGTTCATTTCATTGAGATAGTTTATCCGTGTTCCATCTTGTAAGTAAAAACAAATCATAGGTAATGAATATCAATCCGAGCAGAATAATTGACCCAATTACAACGGCAATAACCGTGTCGTACAGCGCAATAAATAAAACCATACTCGCATCGAAGAGAACAGCGACGACAAGCTGAAGGAGAATACATACCGTCAAACGCTTTTGTTGTGAAAACAGGCTCCTGCTTCTTCCGGGAATGCCGGTCGTCGTCACGAACTTCGACGACGAGATGGCGGCGTTGACCCCTGAGAACGCAGCTAGGCTGAGGTCCAAAGCCAACGACAATAGACCAAGCAGGGTGCCGCCGGTGTCGTATATCTGGCCGCTACGGAAGCTACTCTGGAAACCGTCTCCTCCGATGTCGACCATCAAGGAGAGGAAGGCTACATGGATTCCGGCGCAAAACGTGGACTAGATAGGATCGGTCAAGAGGGCTTCAAGGGCACGAATGGCATTACTTACGATAAGGAGAACCATCGAGAAGCTTTTGGCTAGAGAGCTATCGGGAGCTGCGTCTACTCTTGATTCCTTCCGCGTATGAACGCGACAAGGCTGGCTCTCGACATCAACATCTTCGCCTCGCCACTCCCTTGAAGCCCAAAAAGACGACACGGACTCGACGCTCCGCGGGGACTGTACGAGCGTCTTCTCGTCTGTCTGAGCATCTGCCTTGTGTGTGCTTCCTTCAGCGCCCATGCTGATCCCTTGGCAAGCCGCCAAGAAACACAAGACGAGTAGAGCTCTATACTGCTCTTCAATCCTTGCCTCAACATCAGCAGTATGAATCTGCAAAGTCGATGGTATCCCTAGAGCACAGGGGACACGAATCAACGTGCGATCATATCAATGCAACGTCCACGACTCACAGTTCTGGCTGTGGCTGAAGATCGAATTTGCCCTTTCTTCAGCGGTACGATCAAGTGCGTCTGGATGTGTGGAGTTCATGATAGTATTTGATGGGTAGTCTCAGTTTTGGGGGATATATATATACGCACCCATTTCTTCTTAGCGAACTTGGCAAATGCGACGCCAAATACCGCATCATTTGTGGCCGGCCAAGGTCTCAGGGCGTACGCACCCAAATAGATGCTTCACTGCTTTGCCTCAGGCCACTCCAATGATGGATGTGAGGGGACCTATGAATACCATTTGGTTCCAACTGTCCGCGCTACAGGATTGGGATCCCTACTCGTCGACGCCATTGCCAGGATCCTTCTGGGCCGCGGGTGTTGGGTTTGGGTGTGAGATGCCACATGTATCACTGGCTGTTGGAATGATTTATGTTAGATGTGGAGGGTATGAGGCGTTTGACATACCTTTTCCTGACTCAAACAAGTGAGTGAAGGCCACATCGCAGCTCCCAAGCTCTTCGATGACAGCTTCTGATCCCCGCACCGAAGTTCTCTATGTCGTTTCCGCATCAAGTAGAGATAGCATACGGTTCAATTGCGGCAGATATTTTATCAATAGTTCTTGCACAATAGATCCCCGTTGAAAACCTGGAGGAAGTTGGTCGCAGTTCAGTTCGCATTGTATCATGGCGAATGAAGCAAAGAGAAAGAAAATAGGGAATGTGCATTCATTGGGTTTTTTCGAACTTGATCAGAAAGTTCTCCGAGGATCCTGGGGGCACTTAAACCTACGAAGTGGACACAGTGTCAGAAATATTCTATCATGTGACCACTACTTACGGTCACATACGCGACTGTCACAGTCACGCGAACTTGTCCGCGTCCACCATCCCCAACGATGCTGACGACTCCGCGACGGCGCGCAGAAGACGTCGACGCCGCTGAAGACAACCCCAGACCTTCAAAACGCCAGCGCACATCTAGTCCCACGAGCTCACCACTCACCGAGCTCGCGTCTTCCCAAACAGTGCCTGTGCCTACATCGCTCCCAACATCGCCAGCACGGTCTATATCGACGTTGCAGCCCATACCGCCTGAAATACTGCTTGTCAATTTGCCCCGCCTGATAATTCACCCACCGAACCACCCACGACATACTCAATCGCTCTATCTCGCGTTGATAGCCTTCAGAAAGTGTTTGCAGCTCCCCACTTTAACGGCAGATATAGAATGTAGAGCATGGACCGGACTGGTCGAAATTGGGATGCGAGTTATTGGCGGAGGTTTCAGCGCAGTGAAAGAACTAGGATGGGCCCAGGGGATCGAGGCTGAGGTGAGAACATATATGCGATTCGTGACTATATGCACTCTTTCTCAAGTTTCTGCGGTAGGTGGAGAAGGCAGTCACCAAAGGAGTGAGTCCCACTGCATGGATGGGATTGTTCGCCTACTCACATCTGCGACCATAGTTACATATCGCCAATGCGCACCCCTCCCTACGGCTCTATGCGCCCCACCTGACCATAATGTCCGCGACTCTCGCGGCTTGGCAGCACAATACAAAGTTTGCTCGCAATCAAGTCAAGAAACTCCTGAATACTGTTTCAGAACCGACGGGAGAAGCTTGGCCGCCCCATGTTGTATATGGCGTGCACCTGACATATATCGACTTCCTAATACATAGCAAGACCACAGACGCGAATAGCAGCAAGCAAGACACACATGCTGCACTTGCGTCTATCCAGGCTCTCGCAGAACTCGCTTCGACGAACTCCCAGTCTCCGCGTCCATCTGAACCCCTATCGACCTCCTCCAACGTCAACCTCGACGCTGGTCGCAAGACAGGCGAGGATAACCTCGACGGGCACATGCGAGTGGTCTTGCTAACGCATGTACTTCGTCTCCGGGTCTTGATCGCAGCCGGAATGTGGAGCGAAGTAGGCGATGCGTTGAAGGAGGCCGAGCAAATATTGAAGATCTCTGCGGAACCTGCGAGTATACCCAAGGAGACGGATGCAGATGCTACCCCAAAAGCTTCAAAACGCCACTCTTCGTCTAGCGCTGCGGCTGCGGGGGTTGTCGATTCAGAAGATCCGTTCATTATCGCTTTGGTCGTTCACACACTCATTATCGGCGTCCTTTATCACACCTACTCCGGCGATGCTCAAGCTAGTCAAACCAGATTAGCCATCCTCCACGCCACGATGGACAAGGCCATGCTAGAGAAGGATCAAGAGACGGAGGACGGCGTTATAAGTGTTAGCGTCTTTTCTTGTGATACCGTAGACTGAGCATCTGACATATAAGTCCGTATAGATATCGTTCGACTCGCAGTACTCCAAGCTATACATTCGGACCACGCATCCTCGTGTCATTTACGCCCTGGGTTTCCTGGTCAGCAGTACCGTCAAGCGCGACCCTATCGGACGCAAGCCAAAGCGCAAGGTTTTTGCTGTCGAAGGACTCACACGGTGGGAAAGAGAAATGAAATCAGGGGAGTTCACGAGACACCTACAGCGTGAGCGAATGCATTTACTCTCACCCCGACGTCCAAAATTAACTGCAACTCGGTCCTGTGATCGTGATAGTGCCGTGTTACGCGAATCTAGATGATCTTATTCAGGTCGAATCTCGGATGATAAAAATAAAAGCCGACTTGCTTTCTGAGTATATCGGCGTGAGGCTTTCCACATTCAACGGTTTGGTCATTTGACTGACTTCTGGCTGTAGGTTTCAATCCTAAGGGGCGAATTCGACGCCGCAGAATATGTACGTATTGACTTCTTATCGACGAAGCTTGTAATTAACTCAGTCCGAAAGAACCTCGACATACTCATCGCCCATACTCGCAACCACAACCTCTTCCCGTTATATGCAGCGCGTATCACCCTTCATCATGCACATCTTGCCCACTCACTCGGGCAAGCTGAGCGAGCGGAACGTTGCTATCAGGTGGCGTATCATCTGGCCGGCGGAAATAGTTCCTCCTCCATGCTGGACAACAAACGCCCCAGTGATTCGGCCAAGGCTAAGAAACACGAACCAGCTGTAGATGCCTCATGCGTGCTGAGTGCAGATAGTGATTTCGTCTGTGTTGCTGCTCTGGCTGGACGAGTAGCCCTTTTGCTCGGGATGAGTGTCGCTGAGATGTGGCTAGATGAAGATCTCGATGACGATATTGATAGTGGTCCTGCCTCTCCCACGAAAGGCAGAAGCACGAAAGGGAAGGAGAAGGAGGGCTCGGACAGCGATCGCCCAAAATGGAGGACTGAACTGGAACGCTTGGGAAAGCAAGTCGTCTCAGAATCGCGAGGAATGGGCGGTACGTTAGAAGCCATCGGCCAAATCATCGAGGCCTGCCTTTCAAAGGAGATCATCAAAGCAAAGTTAGTTTTTTGCACCCTCAATCAATCGTGTCGCTCATCATCCGTCTTAGGCAACATCTGAAAATAGCGCTTTCGAAAGCGACTCGGGCACAAGACAATCATTTGCGGGCACTCATCCTTGCGTTAATCTCGGCACATTACTTTCATGTATCTGCCGATCACGCGCGCACTATGCTTGTTACGTGTGATCAGCTGGCTGCTGGTTTGGGCGCGACATCCACGAAGTCGAAGACTGTGGCTGAGGGTGATGGCCGCCGGGACCAAGCCGACGGGAGTAAGGGGGATGCGAGTGATGTAGGCAATGCACCGCTCAGGCTGTGGGTGGGAGAGAAGTTCGTTGGTACGTTGTTTTGCCCTTTTCCGTGTCAGGTGGGAGCTTACACAAGGTATGCATTAATTACAGAGCTGCATAAGCGCACGGGTCACGAAGAACTGGCCAATAAACAAGCACAGTTGAACACGCGACTTAAGAAGGCTGTAGTACAAATGGTGGCTCGTGGCACCTGATTAGCCTGCCTTACTGCCAGTTTCGAGGAGGATTCGGAAGGACTGTTCACGTTACTTACCCATTAAATTATTCGCTTTTAACAATCATGATTATAGGTATCAGCGGTTTCCTTAATCAGTACGCTATCTTCATTATGCTGCTATACATACATACAGTCTGTACATCAATTACTGTTCGCTCGGTGCAATGCTTCCGGTCTCCTATCCAATGCATAAAAAGTATAAGAAATAGTTATCGTCCCCTTGTGTCGGCTGGCTGTGGTGCATCTTAGTGGTACACGCCTATCTAAATACACGGAACGAAGGCAAACAGTGCTCTACAAGCAAATCGGCCTCTCCAACGGCTAGCTAAGCAACTAGTTCACGAATAAGTTTCTCGGCCTTCTCTGATCGCGGTTCGATTACGCATTTGAAAGGTGGAGCGTGGCTGTCCAAATCGATACACTCAAGATTTCGAACACATTGATAAGTCATGGGTGCTGCTTACCGAACAATAGCAGAAACATACTCAGTTGATGGTTCAATGGGCTTCCCATCCGCATCCAGTGCCTTCTTCAAATTTAGCACAGACAGGATGGAGGTGGCGGCCATCCATATGATCGGGAAGGCCAGATGCCGACCTACGCAGGCACTATACGCAAATCAGGGTACATCAACAACGGGCTGGAAGGGGGAGATTGTGGGGAAGTGGACACACCGTCTACCGAAGCCAAAAATAGCGGACGGCTCCCTTAGGTCGGGGTTGAGTTTGCCATCTTCGGTGAGCCATCGTTCGGGCTTGAAGGCGAAGGGGTCGGGGTACTTCTGCTCGTCGTGTAGCATTGCCCTGCGTTTGTATGAGTTTCCGCGGAAAGCTGAAGGAGGGATCTTGTTTGCGTACCATGCATTTCCCATGGCTATAGAACCCTTCGGGATAGCGTACCCTCTGTACTCGTCGTCAGCGGTAGTGAAGTGAGGAATGGCTATCCAGACATTATTAGATACAAGGTCAACATGGTATCTGGACGTCAACGTACCCAGAGGGGTACTGGGTTGCCATCTACAGCGAGATGACGGAGCCTTGCGTTGATTAGCTGGAATCGGAAGCAAGCACCTAACGTACCTCAATACTTCCCGAAGGATGGCAGCGATATACGGTAAACGCTCGTCGTCCTCATACAGGGGTAACCTATTCCCTCCTAACACAGCGTCGATCTCCTTCTGTGCTCGTGCTTGGACCTCAGGATGCATGACCATCGCGAGGATAAACGTGTCAAGTGTCGAGACGGTTGTATCCGTGCCGCCTTATAATCAATAAGTGGATGTACGTGTAATGAGGTGTGAGCACTCACCGATGAATATCCCAGCACCTACTTGTCGAATGACCCTCTCTTGTGCCGCAATGTCCTGCTTTTCATCTATATTTTGCAGGCATCGAGTAACAAAGGAGTCATTTGGGATACCGTCCGCCTGAGCGGACACCGTTATACTAGAGGATGGCATCATAGAGAAAATGACAACGTACCAGGCGTAGATGTCCTACGGATACATAAAGAGACTGTTCTTACAGTGCACCTTTTATGTATCATCACCTGTACTAACAGTGAGCACTGCCTGATGCATCGCGTTATATATCACACAGTCCTTGTTACATAATTTACCTTTCGCTCCGCTGGCACTGGCGCGCGTCGGCTTTGCGCCAGGTGGGCAATGCTGGGATTAATTTGCGCTCTGCGCCCCGCCATCCATAAAAGGTGTGTCTTGAAATGGGCAACGAAGAATCTCCCGTGAGATCTGGTGAATGCTTCTTTTATTTTGCCCGATCGAACCGAGAACCGATAAAAGTACCCGATCCCTCTCCTTGGAACCCCGCAATGCGGAGAAACATATCTGTATGTCAGAGAAAGCAAAAGCCCGCTTGCTCACCTCGTCACCTCGTCAATGTGCCCAATCATCCACCACATCATGGGGGTGGTTTGGGAGAAGGGATGTTTTGCTTCAAAGAATGTTTTGCTTCAAAGAACCCATATGTTAGGCGGCAATATGTTATAAAACATATGTTAGGCAGCGGCAATATGTTATAAAATATTTTATGTACCTGTTACTTCGACAATATATCCCTGAGTCATCACTGGACTCCAAACACCCAGTCAATTGCACAGAACAACGGCAGAAACATAGAACGGCACCTTGGGACTTGTTACCTCTCAGATAAGCGCTCGTGGACTTGGTAAATTTTCAACTCCCCAGCATAAGCGCTCGGGACTTAGACACTTTTAACGTTCGGAGCGTAAGCCTCGGGGTTCGGAGCATCACTACGGGTCCAGTGCTTTATGATAGATCACGCAGAAGCTCTATTGGCAAGGGCAAGTACATACGTCACATAAGTAATGATATCTAAGTACGCGTCCCATGATACCTCAGTAAAGTACGTCTGCTCACACACCCTTGGAACTCTTGCTACTTTTACCTTTCTTGGGGTGCCTGTTCTCCTTCTTTTTGGTGATGCTTGTGGCCTCCCACTCCTTCCGCTCGGATAGCTTCCGAACACGCTTCCCGGGCACAATAAAGGCCGAGTCTTCTCCTACATCCAGAGCTCTTTTGCGGCGACGGAGCGGTGCGGGGTTCCCAATCATCGGACTGACATCAGAACCAACGTCAGCAACAGGGCCCACCGTCTCCGCATTTTCAGCATTTCCTGTTGGGACGCCAGCGGCGGTTGAAGGCAAGAGGACGGGGGATGAGACGGCAGGGACGGGCGACGAGGCGACAGGCGGCGATGAAGGCAAGACGACAGGGGATGAGACGGCAGGAGGCGATGACGAGGCAACAGCGGGCGATGGCAAGGCGACAGGCGGGATGGGCAGGATGGGGAGTTCAGGTGCCGTTGAAATGGGTGTGGCAGGTATCCCCGGAACGGTGACGACGGTGGGAATGGGCGCAAGATTGATGGAGGTCATCTTAGTGGCAGCGTGGGTAATGTAGTCAGGAAGGTCTGCAGCGAGCTCATCGAGGAGAGAGCCAAAGGCGCCGTTTCCGGCGAGAGGTGACATGGTGGAGGGAATCGTGGGGTTAAATGTTGCCATTGTAGCGTCGAACTCGCTCCAGTCGAACTCGTCCAGGTCGGGCAGTGGTGCAGCATTGGTGTTTGGCGGGGCGGCAGGGGTGACGAGGGCTGCAGGAGGAGCAGGGACAGGTGGAGGTAGGGTAAGCTCACGGCTCTCCACGCCCGCATTGAAAGAAGCCATTGTGGTGGCGGAACCATGAGGAGGGGTGTCAGCTGGCGATGAGTCCACCGAATCGACGGCGACGAGCGACCTTGCGTCACATTCTGACTTCGCTGTCGCAGGATAATCAATGATGAAAGTTAGTTTAGTTGTCGGATCTAGCACTCACTGTAAATTGTGTTCAAGAAATTTGCATACGGAGTAAGGACCGTATCCCCAAAGCCTGGAGTTGCTTTCCCGAAGTGCTGGCCCGCCTCGTTCTCCCCAAAATGTACACTAGGAAGACGTCGATAAGGATATAAGGGGAATGGACAGCTGGACTCACCCAATACTATTGATTCGACCTCCATTCTCCGGATCGGGCCCACCTGCCAGTAAGGTAAACGACCAACCCGTTCTGCGGGCAAGCTCCTGACTGAAAGCTTGAAAGTATCGAGGAATTTCGTCTATCGCGCTGAGAATGGGTAAGTAAGTGCCGTCCGTAAGCCAAGAATGAGCTTACGCAGCATATCGTGCGGCTGTTATCCGCTCTGGAGGTGCATCCTTGTCTTCCTCATCCTCGCGGTTCCTTAGGGCCTCATATAGGTCCTCAATCTCCTTCTTGATTTCTGCCGTCTCAAGCGCAAAAATCTGGGGAATCTTCTCTTGCAGCAACGAAAGGAAAGCGGCACCGGTGAGCTTTGTGCCCGCGGGGAGGTTCTCGTAAATTTTCGGGCGAATACGCGTCTTGTAGTATTTTTTCGAGTAGAGTTGCAGGAGTTGAGGCCGACGAGCGTTTTTGATAGGCTGTGGTGGTGGTAGCTGCTTGGGCGTGGCTCGGGTTTTTGCGGCCGTTCGGTTGTGATACCACCTCTTTAGGTACTACGGTCCGTATGTTCAGGGCTGTCGGTAATCAAAAAATAGGTAGAACTTACATCTTGGCGTTTCGCTATTTTTGTACCCAAATTCTTCTTCCTCTCGCCATCGTCCATGATAGCGGGGTCTTCCTCTTCTTGCCATTGCTCGAACCACCCCCGATAAAGGACGGGCCAGAACCTATCCAGTCGGCCGTGTTTCTGGGCTTCCAGAAACTTATCTAGTAACCCAGTCAGGTAAGCCTTTTGTTCTGCATTAGCTTTGCTGGGTGGTGCCATCGAGGAGAATGAGGTAGAGTATGCGACTAAGCTTGAGCCTTGCAGTCGGGTGATGTATCTGATCCATCCCCTTTTTTTCAGCATAAGCTTCGCCGCACCCCCGGCAACTCGCATCCCACTATATATTAGGTCACCACAACGATTCGAACGACTCAGCCCCAGCATTCTATCGCCCTCTTCTACTACTCCAACCATGCAGAACCCCGCAGTTGACCTCAACGTCTTAAGCGAGCTGATTCAGCAACTCGCCTTGGCCCAGGCTGCCAACCAGGCAGCCGTAGCCAATGGAGGTGCTGAGACGGCTCCTACTGCGTCTGCCGCTCCGGCTCTCAACACTGCTCCAGTCCCACCGCCTCTCAATGCGACTCCAGCCCCGGTGGCTGCCAATGCCAACGCCAATCCCACTGCCAACGGTAAGCTCGCCCCTGCCGCTTTGTTACCGTTGAACTCAGCAAAACATTAGCCCCAGCCGGCTACTTCAGGTGCCCTAACTGCGACACCCTTCATCAGCTCGTCGTCGCCGCTGCTAGCCCAGCCGCAGCATCTGCTGGCACGCCCGTCGCCAGTGCATGTAGCTCTTCCTCGCCCTCGTCCACTGCCAATGACGCTGGCTCCTGGTATTCGGTCACCAGAGGCCGCCAAGTCGGAGTGTTCCGCGGATGGTAAGCTACCATCCTCTTCTTTTGACCGTATATTCACACTTTATCAGGGATACAATTGTCGCATCCCTCGTCGAAGGCGTTCCCCGTTGGCGCTGCAAACGGTTCGCCACTGAGCAACAGGCTCAGGCCCATTTCAACCGATGCCTCATGATGAACGACGTCCATATCCACAATGACGAGTAGATAGGCCAGCCGTAGTTCCCCGTCAGCCCCGTAGCGCGTAGTGTTGCAGTTTGTATGGACTTCCGTTCCCGCGAATCTGATTGTTGCCTTTCGTGTTCTTATCATCCCCATGAGATATGAGTGACAAACGAAGTTCAATTGATCATATACACTACAGTGATTGATACAACAGCTCCCCCTTCCTATGCATCTCGAATAGCTCTGAGTCACCGTCCATCGTAGTACATAGAAGATCTTCGAGACACCCTAATGCCTCCTGGATCGCCTTTCCTGTCGTCTCAGCAATGCGGAAATTCTTATCGACACCGGAGAGTCGTAGTAATCCGGCTTCGCAGCGTTGCATCGTGGCTCGCAATGCCTCGACTTCGAGAAGAGGATCGGTGAAGGTGGTGTTACGACGAGAAATAAGAGGATCGGTGAAGGTGGTGTTACGACGAGAAATGCTATACTTTCGGTAGAGTTCTGCCATAAACTTTGGAACGGTAGCACCTTGAAGTAATGCGTCGAATTTGTCCGACGTATCCGCAACCAAGTCTGTCCAATCGGTTACCGTCGCAGGGTTGGTCTTTGGGTGTTTCCGCTCTCGAACTGCGGCTAGAACTCGCTTATTCCTATTAAATTGTTAGTAGACAGCAGGGGGGCACGAATGGGTATATACTTAGTTGTTTCAGCTCGATACCTGATGGCGCGTCGGCAGCTGATCTCCAAAATCTTCCTATCATCCCCTTGAGCTCATGATAATTAGATTACATTGCAGGACACTTACTTGTGATAGTTCCGTTTACTCTTTGCACGATTAGCGAACATCTTCTCCTCCGGAGTATGGTATAACTTTGGGCGCCCAGATCCGACGGGGCGTTTGCGAGGGGAGGAGACTTTAAACGGGTCCTTGTTCCTGTACAAATGTTGAGCCATTACTCGTGAGTGAATGGAACCACTTACTTGTGGTAACTGCGTTTACTTTTAGCTCTATTGGCTAGTGCTTTCTCTTCAGGAGTTTTGTAGATTTTGGGGCGGCCAGGGGGCATGGTGAAAGTCGATGGTCGAAAGCACGCTAAAGTGCAGGTGGCAATCATGAAACAGTGCCGTCTGACCTTTTGACCAAATCTGACCTTTATTCAATATCAAGCTAATCTCCTGAACAATAAGTGATAAAATTATATGAATAGGTCGCAATAGCCTACCGGTCGAATTCCCGATGGAAATATTATTGGGATATGCAGTCTATTGGATGCTGCAGATTTATTGTGTTCGAACCTCCTAAGCTATCATATGCATGTGACCAGTGTTCAAGTGCC